CCTTACCTTGTTGTGGCCTTGGAAGTGAACCCATGCAGTTCACTGATGCACACCTATAGGGTTGCCACCTGATCACTACGCCCCTCACTGATGTTTGCTGGATGAGCAGCTGTGGGATGAAATCAGTAGATAGCAGCCTCTTTCATTCATATCAAGTAGCGTACTACTGTAGGAAGCAGAGGGACCATCTTGAAATTCATTTCTCTTTATAGATGAATGCCCTATGACAGTTTAATAGTGTAGGAGTTGTGTTTTACATGAATAAATGTTTGTTGGCAGAAAACTTGTCATATGCAATGATAAAATTGTGGATATCGTGATGTTAAGTTTTATAACCTAGCAAAACAAATTGCAGATGTTAAAAAGAACTTATTTCTTAAAAATATGTTGTTTATGTAGAGACGAAATCATATAATTTTGTAGAGAGAACATATTTTTAATTTCAAAATAATGACTACGGCGTTATTTTACTTAGTGATCATACTAATTTGATTTTCTGTGTTTGTGGAAAATTACTTATAGAAATTTGTAAAAGTGTAATATGAATTCTCTCATAAGTGAAAACTTATCATATAATATGTGTGTGTAATAACTTTTTTATTTATTGCCCATTGCTTCTTAAGGATTTGTATCTCTCCTTTAGAAACATCATAGAGACGTGATTCACTATTGATATTTAAAACAGTAAACTCAATAGAAGAAATTTGAGCTACTTCTTAGTTTTGTTCATGCAAATATAAAACAGATGGTGTTGATGGTTATGATGTTAATCTTTAGAATATATGTATTTTTCCTTTAATCAAAACTTTAAGTTTAGCACTTTTCATAAAAATAGATAGTCCCCTTTGATGTTTAAAATTCTTAAACCATGGATATATATTTGAAAATGATCATTTAACTGTTTATATCACCCCTATTAAATCACGAAGGCTTTTGATTGGTTGGAAATCGATACATGGATCGACACATGCATGTTTAACCTTGTTGATAGCTGCAGCTGTAATTAGTATATCAGGATTTATTGGAGGAAATAATTCTCTTAACTCTGTAAGTTATTACTATATTTCTCATTGATTAGATTAGTCTGATCAAGTATTGACTTCAAATGTCCAGATTTATTGATTTAGGTTTAGTCGGCATACCCTACTCAACATATTTATTATTTGATCCAGGATTTTTCAAGAAGAATTTTGTATTGACTAATAAATGTATTGTGTCGGGAATTATGATTTGTCAGGGGGGAAATATATTGTATAATTTTAGGTGATAAAATTATGAGTAGAGTAGACTGCTTGATGCGACACTAGTGTTTGTGAAATGTACAGGGTTTTTTTAGTTCAGAGATTGTTATTTGTCAGTGAACTTGATCTATCATTGCAACAAGCACGCAGAGTAGTATGATGTACTCTATATGTCAGCATATGTATCAGCCATGTAAGTTTCTTGACACAAATATCACTTAATGACAAATATTTATGTTTAATCCCCTTTCAAAATATTCTTTCTTCCTGTCCCACATGCATTCCTAAGTGTTTTGACAAATTTGAATGAATTTTAATTACTAATGTAAAACTGTCTCTTATCTTCAATCTGTAAACATTAAAAGTTATGTTATTTGAACGTTTATCATGGCTGGCTATTTTTGAGAATTTTAACGTAAGATTTTCTGTTTTGGAAAAGTAGTGACGTGAAAAGGGTTGTAATCAAGACTAGTTCCCATATATATATATATATATATATATATAGTGGTTTAGTGTGTTAATGTGTGTGTATCTGCCATTAGAGTCAGATATTTTCTGGTCAGGGCCGTCACTCTGTTCTCTACTCCATGGAAACATTACACGTCCACAAAGAACTTGCAAGAAAGTGTCTTAGACCTTAGTTAATAACATAAATAGCAATTCATCTTTTCCAACATCTGTATTAAACATGCCGCATCACATTATCTGTGTCTGCTAGTACTTACAGACAAGAACTGTAATATGTGTCATTTGAAATTCACGATGTGTCCTACTGAACATTCGCGTTTCATTTGAGTTGCATCTGTCGGCAGTAAGTTTACGCAGATTCCTGGAATAGTTGTTCAGAAGAAATGGAATATCTGAAAACATGACACATGGACATACTTTTAAATGAAATAATACGGAGTAACAAACTTCCCATGGCTTAGAGCTATTGACGTACACAGGCATAAAACAATATTCATCAACCCACTGTGGACATGATAGTAGTACTTCAAGTATGTCATAGTTACACATGTTTATCTTAATAACAGGTGTCTGAAAGATGTCAGATATCTGGAATTCCATGTTTATCTCTTTGGCAGCCCAAGGTTTCACAAATGTGACTGATTATAACTGAAATATCAGTCAAGCAATGTCATCACCCTAAGACATCCGTGACCTCTTCCATGTTGTTGTTATTATCCCCCCGCCATCAAGTGGGAGGGGGATATTGCATTGAGCTCTGTCCGTCCATCTGTCCGACCGAGATGAGGGGGACAGATTTTTTCAGAAACCATTATAGATAATAAATGAAATGAAATGTGATATTTGTTTTCAGGACATGAATTCCTTGATGGAGTTTGAAAATGGAAACAGTGTTACTGTTTGTTACAGAGTTATGGCCCTTGTCATGTGTTTCTTGACTTAGTTTGTATCAATAGAACAGCAAGTCAGTTAGCCCTGAGCTAAGATTGTTAATTTAGGTCACTGACACTGTCGTTTTTCTGTTTGTTGTCTGCCTTAGATTAATCATAATTAATCATGGAAGGTATTAAAATCAGCATCTTAGAAAAGACATACAGTTCGCGATACCATCACGAGCAAGCATCCTCATACTTTGACTATAATAGTTCAGGGCAAAATTGTACTTTATTACACTATAGATGGTGGTAGTGCAAACTGAATTTCATAATATTTCCATTGGTATTTCAAATTGTGGCGTCACAATATGTCTGAGATATTGCCAATGTGACGTTAAATATTATTAACTCACTCCCTCAAATTGTGGCCTACCAGTAAACCAGGACATTCTTTGCATCTCTAACCATGTTTGATTCAACTGACAGGGATGTCAAGAGATTCATACCTCATGTATCGATACATAGACTGATACTGGGGTCATGATGTACATACTGTGCACCATGACCTACTAGGTGATTACTGGGTTAGATTTGAACATTTTATTGAAGGCACTATTTCACACCACACTTCTCTAGGTATAAATAATGCATTTCTCTCAATAATTCTAACCATCAGCCCTCAGGGAAGCTACCATATAATTTGTTCCATAAAACATTACATATTTAGATTAAAATATTAAATCAAAAAGTTCGAATGAATTAATGCAAAGCTGCATTAAATCAACTCTAGCGCCCTCTGCTGGCAGAACATTATTTCAAGCGAACCCCTGAGAGTTATCTACCTTGGAGTACTCTATGAATATCCTATAACTCCTTTGGAGACAGAACTCAGTTCTAGACAAAAAAACACGCGCAACTTGTGATTGAAACCAGTTCGGCAAACACCGACAACACAGTGTGCGGCAGTTTTCGCAATTGTTTACATTCCATATATGGCAAGTGCAAATATCGAAGCTCTTCGCCTCAGAGTTTCAATTTCAGGCATGTCATAAGGTATAATAAGTCTTTTATTGCATCAATAGGAAGCTAAAGTGAGTGCATATGCCCCAATATATATAATATAGGCCAAAATATTCTTGAAAATCGTGAAATTGTGCCTTTAGTATGTATGAGGTGGTGTGTTTACCAGGATCTTGTCCAATACTGATATGAAACTTTGCGCTCATAAAGACCAGTTGCCTACTTGTGTCTACAAGTTTAACTTTGGCTTTGTTCACAATGGTTTAATTATCTGTGGAACTGTTCGATATAAACTTTGCACACATACATTTTGCAAGCAATGTATATTTAGCATATACTATTTCTGTTTTCTTGGCAATAGGTTTGACTTTGAGTCACTTCACGGGGCTGGGCTTTTTTGGACATATCACCAAAATCACTGTTTTTCTTCAGTATGCTAGCATAGTGCTGGGCAGTTATTTTGGACATATCACCAAAAATCACTGATATACAAATTTTTCTTCAGTATGCTAGCATAATAGTGAGTCATATCATTGTCAAATAATGAACTGATACACAAATTTTATAAAGTTCCAGAATACACACTACCAATGTCAGTTTGTTAGAACGTGACAAAAGGTTTATAAGTCCCCTTTGATAGAACACAGACAAGTCTAAAATATTCAATAATATATTGAACAAACAATGAACAAGCTACAATGAATGACAATACAGATATCTAGTACAATGCAATTGAGTCACAAATGCAGACAGATGTGTATAACTCCAGTCATGTAAAAAGTCTGTGTGTGATTCCGTCTCGCACAACACAACAACCAGCCTTTATATAGCTCTTACACATTTCTCGAGCATTCTAGTAAAGGCAGGCAGCATCACCATCCACTCAGAAATAATGGAAATCTGTGGAAAACTCCACAACGTGAAGAAGTCAACACGATAAGCAACCAGCCAAGGGAGGCAACTCTGAAGCACTGTCAAAAAGGCGTACCGCTAAAAAATACTACTGCCATTGAACATACATGATGTGAGATGAGATCCACAACCCACACTCAAAACTTGAAACATTGTGACCCATAATAATTATCACTCAATCAATGATATCACAAATTACAAAAAACACATCGTAGCAAGTTTTAGTTTAGGACACTATTTCAGCCATGTTTCTGACAAAAGGACAGATAGATGGCTAAAGTAGAACTGGTGAGTTAGGCATTTTAAAGAAAATGAATGCATTAGAATATCTTCGGTTTGCCTGAACCAAAACAACTTTCTTGGTAACTGGATGATTGCCTTGAACAAGTAACTTGTGTCAACTCATGGAAGAGCAGTTTTAACCATTGCAAGCCTATGTTTGCCTATACAAGTGTCTATTTTTAGATATTGTCATGAATTTCAGAGATGGATACCAGCACTGAAAACCTCCCAGGCTTGCAGTCGATGCCATCTTTCAAGCGGGATTTCCATATGACATGTCTGGATGTGTCCCAGAACAAGATTGGTTCCTTGTCCCATCTTCTGGAGGCAAAGGAACAATTACTGGCCTGCTTCGCTCGCCTCCAGAAACTCGACCTCAGCTACAACCAGCTGGAGACACTCACCAGCAAACTCTTCAAGGTCAGTCAGGGTCAAGTTTGGAAGGTGACCATTATGTGGAATAGTGAGTGAGTGATTGTAGCTTTATGCTACAGTTAGCAATCATTGAGTTGTGAGGTCAGCCTGTGAATTGTGTAAATATCAGAGCAAGTGAGTGAGTGAGTGAGTGCTTGGTGTTTTTGTGCTGCATCAGGAGACAAAGGTAGACTGCATGAGCTGCGTATTAGGCAGGAAGGTTTCCTAGTTAGGATTGTGGCTTAAATCAAAGATTGGTTGGAGTTCCATGAGAATTCATACTGACTACAGTGGCCACAAGACTGAAACTGAGTTCCAGGTATTCAGACGTGAGATAATCAAGCATGACAATGTTGTTATACGCGTTCAAATCTGCTGCTGTGGATCACTGGATTGTCTGGTCCAGATTCGATTATTTACAGACCATCACCATATATCTAGAATATTGGTTGGCTAGTGCTGAGTCTGGGAGTTAACCTTGACATAACAGAGGCCCAGATAAGCTGCGTATCCGGGTAAAATACGCAAATAAAATTTCCAATTACGCATTGAAAAATAACTGTTGCGTACCAATTACGCATTTAAAATGTTAGATACGCAAAAAGTTTTAAAAAAATGCGTACGGAATATATTTATAAAAATCACTTGCGTAATGAAAAAGACATCGATTGCTATCAAGTTGTACTGTTAGTATAGGACAAGTGTTGTACTGTCAGTATAGGATGAGTGATTTTTTATGAAATCATTTCCATTATGTTTAAGTTGGTGTTGATTAGGTATGACATAAGGCAGAACATACCTGCTTAGCAAACTTACTCAATGACATAATACTTAGTTGAGTAAAATGACTGAAATACGCACATATTTGAAAGCAGTGGGTAACGGAAAATGAAATACCCACTCAACATTCATAATACCCACTAAAAAAAAATACAGTGGGTACAGTACCCACATGAGCTAAATCTTATCTGGAGCTCTGCATAAAATATGACAGGTATGTCAGTGTGTCACTTGTTACATGTTGAAAATGTGTGTTATTGAGTCTGACTATATCCATAATGTTTGCAACTGTCTCTTGTAATGGAAGGTTGTAGGATACAACTGCCTAATGCATTCCCCCATTCCTGTTCCAGCACTTCCCAAGTCTACAGTATGTGGATATACGATACAACAATCTGAAATCATTTCCACATGAATTCGTAGAGTGTACTGCACTTATCTCTCTCGATCTCAGTCACAACCAGGTGAGCTCCATTACATTCCTTGTCACACTCTCAGTCACTACCAGGTGAGCTCCATTACATTTCTTGTCACACTCAATCACAACCAGGTGAGCTCCATTACATTCCTTGCCCCACTCAGTCACTACCAGGTGAGCTCTATTACATTCCTTGTCACTCTCAGTAACAACCAGGTGAGCTCCATTACATTCCTTGTCACTCTCAGTCACAACCAGGTGAGCTCCATTACATTCCTTGTCACTCTCAATCACAACCAGGTGAGCTCCATTACATTCCTTGTCACTCTCAATCACAACCAGGTGAGCTCCATTACATTCCTTGTCACACTCAGTCACAACCAGGTGAGCTCCATTACATTCCTTGTCACTCTCAATCACAACCAGGTGAGCTCCATTACATTCCTTGCCCCACTCAGTCACTACCAGGTGAGCTCTATTACATTCCTTGTCACTCTCAATCACAACCAGGTGAGCTCCATTACATTCCTTGTTACTCTCAGTCACAACCAGGTGAGCTCCATTCCATTCCTTGTCACACTCAATCACAACCAGGTGAGCTCCATTACATTCCTTGTCACACTCCGTCACTACCAGGTGAGCTCCATTACATTCCTTGTCACTCTCAATCACAACCAGGTGAGCTCCATTACATTCCTTGCCCCACTCAGTCACTACCAGGTGAGCTCTATTACATTCCTTGTCACTCTCAGTATCAACAAGGTGAGCTCATTTACATTCCTTGTCACTCTCAGTCACAACCAGGTGAGCTCCATTACATTCCTTGTCACTCTCAATAACAACCAGGTGAGCACCATTACATTCCTTGTCACACTCAGTCACTACCAGGTGAGCTCTATTACATTCCTTGTCACTCTCAGTCACAACCAGGTGAGCTCATTCCATTCCTTGTCACTCTCAATCACAACCAGGTGAGCTCCATTACATTCCATGTCACACTCTGTCACTACCAGGTGAGCTCCATTACATTCCATGTCACTCTCAATCACAACCAGGTGAGCTCCATTACATTCCTTGCCCCACCCAGTCACTACCAGGTGAGCTCTATTCCATTCCTTGTCACTCTCAGTCACAACCAGGTGAGCTCATTTACATTCCTTATCACTCTCAGTCACAACCAGGTGAACTCCAGTTCGTTCCTTGTCACACTCAGTCACAACCAGGTGAGCTCTATTACATTCCTTGTCGGACACAGTCACAACCAGGTGAGCTCCATTACATTCCTTGTCACACTCAGTCACAACCAGGTGAGCTCCATTCCATTCCTTGTCACACTCTGTCACTACCAGGTGAGCTCTATTCCATTCCTTGTCACACTCTGTCACAACCAGGTGAACTCCAGTTCATTCCTTGTCACACTCAATCACAACCAGGTGAGCTCTATTACATTCCTTGTCACACTCTGTCACTACCAAGTGAGCTCCATTCCATTCCTTGTCACACTCAGTCACAACCAGGTGAGCTCCATTACATTCCTTGTCACACTCTCAGTCACTACCAGGTGAGCTCCATTACATTCCTTGTCACTCTCAGTAACAACCAGGTGAGCTCCATTACATTCCTTGCCCCACTCAGTCACTACCAGGTGAGCTCTATTACATTCCTTGTCACTCTCAGTCACAACCAGATGAGCTCCATTACATTCCTTGTCACTCTCAGTCACAACCAGGTGAGCTCCATTCCATTCCTTGTCACTCTCAATCACAACCAGGTGAGCTCCATTACATTCCTTGTCACACTCAGTTACTACCAGGTGAGCTCCAGTTCATTCCTTGCCCCACTCAGTCACTACCAGGTGAGCTCTATTACATTCCTTGTCACTCTCAGTCACAACCAGGTGAGCTCATTTACATTCCTTATCACTCTCAGTCACAACCAGGTGAACTCCAGTTCGTTCCTTGTCACACTCAGTCACAACCAGGTGAGCTCTATTACATTCCTTGTCGGACACAGTCACAACCAGGTGAGCTCCATTACATTCCTTGTCACACTCAGTCACAACCAGGTGAGCTCCATTCCATTCCTTGTCACACTCTGTCACTACCAGGTGAGCTCTATTCCATTCCTTGTCACACCCTGTCACAACCAGGTGAACTCCAGTTCATTCCTTGTCACACTCAATCACAACCAGGTGAGCTGTATTACATTCCTTGTCACACTCTGTCACTACCAGGTGAGCTCCATTACATTCCTTGTCACACTCAGTCACAACCAGGTGAGCTCCATTACATTCCTTGTCACACTCTCAGTCACTACCAGGTGAGCTCCATTACATTCCTTGTCACTCTCAATCACAACCAGGTGAGCTCCATTACATTCCTTGCCCCACTCAGTCACAACCAGGTGAGCTCTTTAACATTCCTTGTCACACTCTGTCACAACCAGGTGAGCTCCAGTTCATTCCTTGTCGGACACAGTCACAACCAGGTGAGCTCCATTCCATTCCTTGTCACACTCTGTCACTACCAGGTGAGCTCTATTCCATTCCTTGTCACACTCAGTCACTACCAGGTGAGCTCCATTACATTCTTTGTCACACTCAGTCACAAACAGGTGAGCTCTATTACATTCCTTGTCGGACACAGTCACAACCAGGTGAGCTCTTTTACATTCCTTGTCACACTCTGTCACGACCAGGTGAGCTCCATTCCATTCCTTGTCACACTCTGTCACTACTAGGTGAGCTCTATTCCATTCCTTGTCACACCCTGTCACAACCAGGTGAGCTCCAGTTCATTCCTTGTCACACTCAATCACAACCAGGTGAGCTCCATTACATTCCTTGTCGGACACAGTAAGAACCAGGTGAGCTCTTTTCATTCCTTGTCATACTCAGTCACAACCAGGTGAGCTCCATTACATTCCTTGTCACACTCTGTCACTACCAGGTGAGCTCTATTCCATTCCTTGTCACTCTCAATCACAACCAGGTGAGCCCTTTTACATTCCTTGTCACACTCTGTCACAACCAGGTGAGCTCCAGTTCATTCCTTGTCACACTCTGTCACAACCAGGTGAGCTCCATTCCATTCCTTGTCACTGTCAGTCACAACCAGGTGAGCTCCATTCCATTCCATTCCTTGTCACTCTCAATCACAACCAGGTGAGCTCCATTCCATTCCTTGTCACACTCAGTCACAACCAGGTGAGCTCCATTCCATTCCTTGTCACACTCAGTCAAAACCAGGTGAGCTCTATTACATTCCTTGTCGGTCACAGTTCACAACCAGGTGAGCTCCAGTACATTCCTTGTCACTCTCAGTCACAACAAGGTGAGCTCCAGTACATTCCTTGTCACACTCAGTCACAACCAGGTGAGCTCCATTCCATTCCTTGTCACTCTCAATCACAACCAGGTGAGCGCTTTTACATTCCTTGTCACACTCAGTCACAACCAGGTGAGTTCCATTCCATTTTCTAGAACTGTCATTGTACATTGTCTTTGGCCAGGCACTGACCACCTGGTCCTGCCTGTAACAGGGACTTATATGATTTATATATAATTTCATATTTGGATTCATATTTTTTATCTTGACACTGATTCAGATCACCAATCTGAGCAACAAGGACCTGTCTGGAATCTACAGCATCAGGGAACTGAATCTTTCTTCTAATCAGATTGAAAACTTTCCAGACAAAATTGACAAAGCCATGCCACATTTGGAGAAGCTGATTCTTTACAAGTAAGTGATTCATTGCTTGCTTCACATGATTCATTATTTTGCAATTGGAGGATTTTCATCAAATTAATTTAATATGTCATAGAATGTTTTGCTATAATTTCTGCAATCAAAACTCCCAGAAAGAGTCCTGCCCAAAGTGTTCGTTATAACAACCAGAAAGCTTGTTCTTTCTCAAATGTGTTCATAGAATCGGAAGTACTTTGTAAGAAACTATTCTAAAGTGTTTCCCCCATTTAAACTCCATGTTATTTTTTTAGTCAACTGTAATGAAAAATACATGGATTGATTGCTGAAATAGGCATGAAACCCAACTCACTCACTCACTCACTCAGTACTGTCAGTACAATAGTACTGTCGGCTTCCTGGTGAACCTTACCTTAAGTGATATTTGGCCTGGGGTTAATATGGGGTTTATCAAAGCTTGGAAGAGGCAAGCTCAGTTCAGTTATCAGAGATACTCTGTGCCAGGATACTCTGATTGAAAGCTTGATTGTAAACCTGTTCTGATATTAGTTCCACCAGCAAAATAGAAATTGTGGTCTTTCCTTCCATGTCAGGCAATGGGGTAGCCTCCTGGGTAAAGTGTTAACTCATCACGCTGAAGGCTGGGGTCGATTCTTACATGGATTGAAGGCATACCTGGTGTCCCCCACAGTGATAAAGCAAAAAAAACCTTGTACCTTGTAGAGTTCCTCTTACATCACTTGCTTGATAACGGTGTTAGTACCTACACCGAAACGTCGCATGGATTGCAATAAGGATGTTGACTATCCATAGAACTTCACCTATACAACTTCTAAAAGAAGGGATCCTCTTAGTTGTGCCAGGATCTGATTGAAAGCTTGAGTGTAAACCCTCTTGTTAATTTGTTCTGATCCTAGTTCTACTAGGACAATAGCCATTTCACATCACTTTAGCCTTTCCTTCAATGTCGGGTGATGGTGCTTAAAGTGTTCACTCGTGCTTAAAGTGTTCACTCGTGCTTAAAGTGTTCACTCATGCTTCCCTATCTTTGTGAAGCCCATTCCTGGCATCCACCACTGTGATATTGCTCAAGTATTTCGCTCACTCACCACATCCACATTGACTGACTCCAAGGTCTGTCGTTAGATACCCAGCCCTGTCACACTAGATGATGTTTGCTGGTTATTACCCTGTGTGGCTCTTGGCAGGATAAAACACAGGCTGGTTGTCATTGAGGCATATACAGTCGAGCACCGTTGTGTCGAACTCTGATAACTCGATATCTCGGTTGTGTCGACATAACGTCTTGGTCCCGACAAAATCCTTCATAAATTATCATTATTCAAACTCTTTTAACTCGATACGGATGTCTCAATATTTCGGATATCTCGATATAATTTCATGGTCCCAACAAGCAAAATTACCATTTTAACTAAATATTTGCAAAGAAACTCAATATTCACCTACCTTTCATGGGCAAGTATCCCTCAGAACTGAGGTTGTTTCCACACGTTTACACACGGTGCGGCGTGAATCAAAGGAATGCGGTAGTGTAAACAATTAGGGCTAATTGAGTTGAAGGTGTCACTTGTAATTTAATTAGGATTAAGTAAGGAGGAATTAATTAGGAAGTACTCACTGTATGACTAAACACTACTGATAACGGATTATAGTTTCGAATCAAAACATACTGAGAAGCGTTTGTTTTCTTTCATAGTGATATGTGATGACATGCCCTGGTCGGATGTCTCGAAGTTCGGATAACTCGATATTTTTTCTTGGTCCCATGAATATCGAGACAAAGGTGCTCGACTGTACTGTGTCTAAGTGGGGATTTTCAGTGAGCTAGGACTATTATATCTCCATCAGTTGGGACTGGTACAAGCAGCCACACCTCAATTCATGTTGTAGCATGTTGTAACTATGCTAATCTTGAACATAAAACCACACTGACCTCAACTCACCTTTCTGCCGTGAATCACTCTGTAGCTCATTGACACAAAGGCTTTAAGACTGATCAACAAGAGTATAATGTGTATGCTTTGTCGTGTAACTGTTCTAGGGAGGTGTTAATTCTATGTTTTCTCCTAGGAACAAGATATCTAGTCTTCCCAAGTCCACCATTAACCTGCCACAGCTCCGACGTCTTGACCTGTCCAGGAACTTCATCACACACCTACATGGCAACTTCCTGTCTGCCTGTAACAAGCTGGAAACACTCGAGATGGTCAGCAATGGTCTAGGTGAGCATTGTCCTGCAGGTGTCCTGAATGGTCAGTAACTGTCTAGGTATTTATAGTTCTGTTGTCCTGTTCTGAGTGCAGGTCCAGAAGAACAAATAATAACACTCTCACCTGAGTGTCCTCAACAAGAAACAAGAAGAAACATAGATATGTTCAAGAATATTTTATGTTGTAAGCCTCATTTCTCAGAACACAAACTCCCAGTCCACTCTCTTTTCTGTCAGATCTGTCAGATGATGTCTGTATTTCCAGAACAACTCCCTGGCGAGGACATGGCCAAACATTTTCCCCGACTCAGCACTTTGAAGTTAAAGGGGAACCTGCTGAAGGAGAAAGAACCATTCTACATTCCAAAGTTCATCTTGGAACTTCAGAGGTCGGTACACAGCAGGATGTTTGCATCTGGAGATTCATGTATAATGTACCATTGTTCCTATTTTTAGATTGTATCATTGCAAAATTTGATAAGTAAAAGGTCTTAGAGGCTCATAACTGAATGTTTCTACCATGATAATTTTTGCTGTTGTATATTATTTGACTCTCTTCTGAAGTAGGGACATTGGGTTGCCCACTGGTTAAAGCATTTGCTCATCACACCGAAGGCCCTGGTTCAATTCCCTACATGGGTAGAATGTGTGAAGCCCATTTCTGGTGTCCCCCGCCGTGATATTGCTGGAATATTGCTAACAGCAGCATAAAACACAACTCGCTTACTCTTCTTCAGTATATGCCATGTTGTGTGTTGTCCATACTGAGATATTGTCTCCAGTCACTATTGGGGCAGTGAGGTAGCCTCGTGGTTAAAGTGTTCTCTCATTGTGTTGTAGACCTGGGTTTGATTCCCCACATGGGTACAGTGTGTGAAGCCCATTTCTTTTGTCCCTCACTGTGATATTGCTGGAATATTGCTAAAAGCTGTGTAAAACTAACCTCACTCTGTCTTTTGTCCCTCACCGTGATATTGCTGGAATATTGCTAAAACTAAACTCCCTCACTCACTCCAGTCACTATTTCAGAGTATGTAACATAAGCAATGTGTTGGTATTGTGCTGGTTACTAGGCACTGTGGAAGCTTGTTATGCACAGGTAGACACAGTCAGTGGGTAGCGCTAGTAACACATCTTTCTGTTGCAGCCTCAGGTTTGTGGATTTGTCCAAGAACGGGCTGATGGGATTCCCTCCTCCAGTGTTATGGAAGTCCCAGATCCTGAAGGAAATCTTAGTGTCTGAAAACAACATCTCAAGAGTAAGTTCAGAATGGCCTACTCATTAGTACTGACTCAACTCGTTTTGCTTTTATTTCATTTCATTTATTTCATTTTGACAGTCATCTGAGGCGATGCAACTCACTGACAGTTGTGTCCCCAGAATCCTGTGGGTTTGTATTGTTTAGACTGTGAGAATCATGGCTTTGTCCACAAAGCTATCTTTGACGTATCACCTTCATAAGTCAGTGCTGAAGTAAAACCTTCACTACTTCACCAAAACAAAACTGTCTGAAGCACTTCAAAAGCACTGCCAACAATGAACAGAGCCAAAAGATATCTCATCCCAACCAGTTCCGTGGATGTCCGGGTTAGAATAAGCCTTCAGTAACCCATGTTTGTCGTAAGCGGCGACTAACAGGATCTGGTGGTCAGGCTCGCTGGCTTGGTTGACACATGTCATCGGTTCCCAATTGCTCTGATCGATGCTCATGATGTTGATCACTGGATTGTTTGGTCCAAACTCGATTATTTACAGACCACCGCCATATTGCTGGATTATTGCTGAGTGTGGCGTTAAACTAAACTCACTCACTCACTCACCCCATCCAGCTACAATGAACTGACTAAGCCACCACTAATTCGTTGCTTCAGCTATGTGTATTTGGTTCCACCTCATGTACACTTGGCTTCCTCCAGTCACTGTTACTGCAATACTGACCAATATCCATAGTTGTTCTTGTTAATCCCTTTCATACATGCTTAAACTTTATGGGGTGGTGGGGCAGCCTGATCAAGCCGGCATGATCTGATATAACTGAAATACACTTCAAAGTCATTTTATATCCAATTCACAAACACCTTAAAAGTGATATTGATAATGGAACTGTTATGCCACTGTTCCAGCTTAATTTGGATGGTGCTAAAGCTTGGGCTAAAGTTGAGAAGTTCCATATTGCAAGGAACAAGCTGTCAGAGGTAAGGATTTGTCCCAGGAAACTATAGTTTTAAGATCACTGCATCAGAATTCATCTTGTTATATTACCGGGTACGTTTTAACTAGATCACCAGTAGGGGAACGTGTGCACTGCACAGCTGATTGCTATATCCGGCTCTGTATATGAGACGGTTACACACGGTATCTTAATCCCTGCATATATGACAATGCTTAGCAAAAACAAATTAAAACTGAATAGGTAGATAATCTTGTCTAGTGATGTTTAATTGCAAAATTGACGTCTTTACTGTCAAAGTCGTCTTCCCTTATTTGGTCCTCAAAATTCGGCTTATCTATGGTAATATATGGTAGATATGTTTTAGACTGTAAGCTGTAAGTGTTGTAATTCTGAAGCACATGTAGCACAAGAGGTGTCTCCTGGGGCATGTGATTTTGTTTGAAATGTGCCCCTGTCCGCTCAGCAGTTTATGGGTACCTAGTAGGGTGAGATGGTAGTGTGACTGGTAACCTTCAACTGTGTATCACTTTGAGCAATTTGGGTGTCGGTTTGGATATATATATATATATATATATATATATATATATATGTGCACAATATGAAGCATGAATCAAGATTATTGTTGAGTGGATTTCTTGTAGATTCCAAAGGATATTGGTCATCTGGTATCGCTACAATCACTGGACTTGAACCATAACAAGTCCTTGACTTCTCTACCAGATGAACTTGGCAGGTGCTCTCGCATGTGGGAGGTAAGGTTGTTTTCAATGACATCCTTTTCTGGGCAGGTGTTGATCAGATTTTGTTTAAAAAGTTTGTTACTGATTCTGTTGAAAGATAAAAACAAGATGTAAACATGTGGCCTCCTGATATGTCTTCACATGTATTCAGATGCCTCTTGATGGCTTGAACTTGAGTGACCTTGATGACAGTCTCGTTAAAGGAAGAGTGAAGGATCTGATAATCTATCTCCACAATCGACTGAAAAAGGTAAGAGGTTCTCAGCTGAGGTGGACGAATGGTCTAACTTTTCTAACAAGTAGGGACCTCTCATATTCAGAACTAGTTTAAGTGTAATTTTAAGAGCCCTTCAAGTAGACAGACAGTCATATCTGAAGTCTTGTTTCGACATAAATTGTTAGGAGATGGACGAGTAATGGTGATAGTTATCTCAAGATTTTTTTCCAATGACGTGATTTCCAAACTAAAACGTGAAAGTTAATCCCAGATCAATAAGTACAAAACTAAATTGGGAAATCTAAGTGTGGTTTTATGTGTTCTATACCAGCAATGAATAATGAATAATTAGTTGTTTACTAATAGTACATTGTGACCGGAAGCCTTGTGACATTATTGACCAATCGCAATGTCATTGACCAAAAGCACCATGGTCCTTCTTGTGCCGTTACTTGATTAAACAAACACCCGTGAAGGTCCGGGTTAGAATGTGCCTTCAATAACCCATGCTTGTCGTGAAGAGGCAACTAACGGGATCGGGTGGTCAGGCTCAGGGACTTGGTGAATGTCAAAATCCCACCAGTGCAAATCGATGCTCATGCTGTTGATCACTGGATTGTCCAGACAGACAAGATTATTTACAGATTTACTCATATAGCTGGAATATCTAAGTGTGGTGTAAAACTAAACACACTCACTCACTGATTAAACAAGTTGTGTTCAACCCCATGCTCGTGCTCATGTCGGACGGACCTTATTTCATACACGGCTCATGCCATTAATTCATAAATACATCAACAATGACAATTACGCGACACAATGTACCAACAATATTAGACACAACTACACCAAGGTGAGATGACAAACTCACGATGTTTGCTGACAGGCCCAGCGTTACTTCCGCATGAAGCTGATGGTGGTTGGATACGGGAACCGTGGCAAGACCACCCTTCTGAACACACTCCGCAGGAAGACAAAACATAGAAGTGAGACGAGACCCACAGTCGGAGTTGTGGTGGATGATTGGAAGTGAGTGGACATTTGCCATTCATGTGAACAGGGAATTTGTTTTCACCCACATTTGAATGAATTTATTCTATGATCTAAATCATCAATCCGATATAAGGGTATCAATTAATTATTTTAAATCCATCTGAAAGCAGTGCTTTTATTATAAGTACATAGAGGTCACTTTGACAACCTGAAAGTTGATCTATCTGTCCATCCACTGAACTCAAAAACCCTAAATATTGTACTTCCAATAACATGTTCAGCTTCCCGTATCTAAAACAAACTTCACATGGGCACAATGTGTTTAGAAGTACCCAGATTCTGGTGTCAAGCCCCATGATTGCTGGGAATGTAAACATTGCGAACTTTACCATGTCGCTGCTGGAATATTGCTATCCGTTGGAAAAGCGTAATGAAACTAAACTCGTAAAGCAACTGCAAGTCAGTCAGTCAGTAAAACAAACTAACAGTAATTTATGAAAATTATCCATTTAGAAGATGATAGATGACAAGGCTGACACAATATTATGGATGAGAACCTACAATGTATATTGTAATGGTGACAATTTGGTATAGATCTGTTGTACCACTGTCAAGATATAATGAACATGGTATAAAACTATATGTGGCACGTGAAGGATGTATGTACAGTATTGTATACTCATGGAAACCAATAAGGGAACACATGAAAGAACAAGTGTTCCTTTGTTCTTTTCCAGGTTTCTTCGCAAGGTATGTATTGCACTGTGAGTGAAATTCTGGAAATATATAAAGGAACACTTGTACTTTCATGTGTTCCCTTATTTGTTTCTATGAGTATATATTACCAGGTCGTCCCCCCGGGCAGCGGAAGGTCGCGGGTTCGATCCCCGACTGCGTCATACCAAAAGACGTTAAAATATGGTACTTGTTGGTCCCTGCCTGGTGTTCGGCATTAATGGGTTTTCAACAAGGACTGATCGGCTCAGAGTTAGTATAATGTGTCTGAGTGTGGTATTCATACTTCACTGCGGCGGGGTATCTCAGTGAGCTAGCACTATAAAACCAGCTTAAGTCTGGGCTAGTACAAGCAGCCGCACATACACATACACACGCATGCACGTGGTCATATGAGCGAAATATTCTCAAGAACGACGTTAAACCCAATTTCACCTCACCTCATATATTACCAGGTAAACATGTATGTATCGTGTGATGTGACTGTTGTGTTTGCCAGGTACGAGAGACAGAACTTCCGCCACAACATGAAGTACACCCTGTCTACGTGGGACTTTGCCGGGCAGGAGGAGTTCTACAGCACACACCAGTGCTTCCTGTCCAATAGGGCGCTCTATCTGGTCAGTTCTGCTAGTCATCGTATTGTGTATCAATACAGAGCTCTCAGTTAGGTGCAAAGGTGGCCCAGTTGTGTAAGGTTCTGGTATTAGCAGCTCATTGTTATGAGTTTGAGTCCAACATTTACCCTCGTGACGTGTGTTCTTGAGTTTGGCAAAGGGAGCCTTGTCATGACCTGCTTCACTTCGGCCCTTCCATTGACGTTAATCTGACGTGCAGTGATGTAACTAAAAACTGTACTGGACAGGGTGTTTCTACAATGATGGTCATGACGGTACATGCATAAAACATATGTTCACATCTCTTCATAATGAAAGCTGGGGCATGATCAGACAAACACTCAGTCTCGGAGTATATATAACTGAGAGTTGTTTCTTACACTAAATATTCAGGCCAGACCAATTTTATTTCTTGTTTTACAGATCTGCCTGTCATATTTTTTCAAGAATAAGAAAAAAAAATTAATTAATTTTCCCCGCTCAAAAAATAAAATCTTAATATTTTTTTGGTCCAAATGTAAACTTACATGAAAATGGTATTTAGATTGTTTTTTGCCCAGTATACACTTCATGAATTTCCAAAAGTAAAATACTTTTAGTATTTAAAAGGAATATTACTTTTACTGGTGATTTTTTTTTTTTTTTTTTTAAATTATTCCCTCCTGCCTTTAGGTTTTCTGAGGACAAAGATCTGTAAAACAATAACTAAAATTGACCTGGCCTCATGGAGTAATCTCAGACGCCTAAATGGCGCACAAGTGATTCTGAACAAATGTGTTCTAGATAGAATGGACGTTTGAATTGGAACTTATTTAATCATTCAGTTTAAAGTTTCAGTTGAAAGGCTAGTGCCTTCTTTAGTGACTTCCAGAAACAGCACCTGTTTTGTAAGTTTGCATTTGAAGGAAGGAATTGAAATCCATGTGACAGTTTTAAAATGCAACGTACAGATATTCTGAGTGTTTTCCAGGTTGTGTATGATGTCAGCAAGGGGCTGGAGGAGATTGACCGACTGAAACCCTGGCTGTCCAACATCCACTTCCGGGCACCAGGATGTCCAGTCATCGTTGTGGGGACTCATTTCGACAAGCTAAATCCAGGTGAGGATCTACCAAGAGTCTGATATTGGGCACAGCTCTGCAGCAAATGTCAGAAATATTTCTAACTTTGATTTACAGATTTCTCAGTTCATGTGATATCTTTTAATTGACATTGCAATAAGCTGTCAGAGACAATATTGTATTGTCTGCTTTGATGCTTTTTTATTTTTAAGCACAGTTAATTTTTTTGTGCAAAATATTGATGTTTGTATTTTTGCCAATTGCGTGATAAGGGTGCTTAGTTTGGAATTCTATATAAATCATGAAGACATTCAAAAATACATGTTCAGCACAAAGTACAGCTGGTCATGAACTCTGAGGAAAAGTATCATAATCTATGTAATGCTTGTGATGCTTGTCTTTGATTTGTGGCAATGCCTGAATATGTATGCTTTACAATCATTGACAGGCATCAGCTCTTCAGTTCTGTTGTGGAATGTGATCTTCAACAATGTCATCATTTCTAACATTGGTTTTGGCATTCAAAACAGTGGAACAAGGCATAAATTAGACAGTTAAGAACAAATAAAATATTCTCTGAGAGATGATTTCCTTCACCTCTACACTACATGGGTTGATGTGATTTGACAGTTGTCATGTCAGTTGGGTTTGCGGAGAGACAGCCGTGATAACTGTTCATGCGTTGTTTCCAGAACATGCAGCTGACCAGATTGACGGGATGGAAGCAAAACTGTACGAGCTGTCCAAGAAACCAGGTCAGTCATTTAGTGGAGTCATTCTGTGGAGAAGCCTAGTGGCTAAAGCATTCGGTATTCAAGCCAAAGACTCAGGCCATTTGTGTTTGAGTTTTTATATGTACGGTCATCCCTCACAGTAACACTCTTGGCGGTATCATGGTTTGGGTTAAGCTGCAGGGTAATCTGTGGTTCCCATACAAACAACAAAATATCCCTGATCACACATCTTTACATCATCGGAAATAGCATATCAACAAATCGGCTGTTGTGCTCAGGTTTATGACGTTGTAAACTTGATCAGTGAAATTCAGTGCGGATTGATATAAACAGTGCTCATCGTACATATCCTTGTGTTGTGTTTTTTCAGATGCTTAAAAACATTCAGGGTTCTCTTGAATAATTACACGAACAGCTGCACATCGTAATAACTTATAATAGACATGCTATCAGCCGAGAACTTACAGTGTTTGCTGTGATACAACACACCGCGTTATAATGCGGGTAAACACCGCCATCCGAAAACCTATGATGTCAGAAACACATAATAAAACGATCTTCCTCCATTTTATTTTATTTGATTAAACTTAGTCCCATTGTTTATTCATTAAAAGAGTTGATAGTAACATCGGAGAAAAAGTGCATTGGAGAAATGGCATTACCTCATTATATACTCGTACAACTTACCATATTCATGAGGGTCTGCTTTTCGCGCCCACCACGATTATTATAATCTATTTATATAGTGCCGAGTTCCAGCTAGGCTGCTCACAGGCGCTTTAGTTTTTCCCACGATCATAGGATGTCAGTCTTAACAGCACTTCGTATTATCAATCTCAACTCCCTTGGGAGCATACAACTCTTGCAGCCACTCGGCGCACCAAGTTAATGTGGCTTTCCCATCCTTACAAGGTACCCATTCATAGTTGGGTGGACTGGGACACATAGTCACAGTACTTTGTCCAAGTTTACTGCACGTTGCTGTACCCACAGGTGTTTGCACGTATTTATGTGGCCTCCATCTGTTTATATACCAACAGATTCGTGGGTATTTTTAAGTACACAGGGTTGTGTACTGTACACTAGGGGTTGTGACAACACTGAAAGAGTCTACACACAAAGTTGACTCTAAGGATTTTACACCCGGTCACAGGTGGGCTCGATCCAGGTACCACAAGCTCGCTGGATCACTAGCCTGGCGCCTTAGCCAACTCGCCCACCATGATAGCACCAATTTGACATTATTCTCATTCTCATCATCCATTGACCCCCAAGACCTGTGTTATTGACCTATTGAAGTCATATTTGACAATTAATTGCTAACTTTTTGTTTTTACAATCAAAGTGGCATGTACCACAGGAAGTCAACGGTGACTTGTCAGATGTATAACATGATATATATGTAAATATATTCAGTTGTTCAGCTGTTGTGTGTATATCCCTAGGTTTCCCAGAGCTGAACTGTACTGCTGTCGTTGATGCTACCAAGGAGAACCCGGAGGTGGATAGGTTGCGGAGACGAGTCAAGGAGGTCATCGATAGGTAGGAGTCACCAGAGTTGCTGTCCTTCCTTTCGTTCCACCTGTCATGTCATACCCCATTAGTGATCTCATCCATACAAAATCATGACAAAGATCATTGGCCTTAAGGCCAGACCAATTTTATTTCTTGTTTTATGGATTTTGTGCACAGAAAACCTAAAGGCAGGAGGGGTTAAAAAAAATATCACCAGTCAAAGGAAAAACCCACATGAGTTTCCATGTTAACTCTTTTGGTTTGTTATATCAACTAAATATACGTTGAGTGAGGTTAGGTTTCAATGATTTCAAGAGTATTTCACGTATATCACATTAACATTAGGACTCTATGTTTTGAGTGGGGAAATCTAATTTTTTTATGTTTTTTATTATTCTTGAAAAAATCCGAACGGTGGATCCATAAAACAAGAAATAAAATTGGTCTGGCCTAAGTTGATGTTCCAAATTTGTAATTTGATATTTGTATTTTGATAACAATATTGAATTTGCAAAATGGTAATTACCATTTTGGTGGAATTACATGGCGCTCTGAAACTTCTGATGCTACATATCCAATGGTTGTTTCTGTGTTGTCTGTTACAGTTACAAGATCCGAGGACAACTGGTGATGGGTCAGAAGGTTCCAGCAAGCTATGTGGTAGGTTGATAGAAAATTCCTTCTGAATCTGGAGAACAGTACATGCTGAACAGAAGCGTCTGCTAGACATCTCTGACATTTCAGGAAATGTGTCTGATCACATCAGTAGTTTTCATTTGGATCCTTTTGCAGTGATATAGTGGTGATTTAATTTGTGGTTCCATGTGTGTTTTATGTGTTCCTTGACCTCAAAATGTGATCGGAAACTGATTCCATGTGTGATTCCAGGAGTGTCTAGAAGCTTTTCTTTATTATCCCCGCCACGAAGTGGGAGGGGTATATAGGTTTGAGTTTCGTCCGTCCATCTGCCTGTCTGTCTGTCCATCCGTCCGAGATGATGGGGACAGATTTTCTCGAAAAACGTTATCGATAGGGAAACAAATTTGGTATTTGTTTTCAGGACACGAATGCCTTGATGGAGTTTGAAAACGGAAACCATGTTACAATTTGTTACAGAGTTATGGCCCTTGTCATGTGTTTCTTGACTTAGTGCACGGTATGCCAAATAGGAACAGATTTTCTCATTTAACAGCTTATGTATCGCTAGCGTAGGAAGAATGAACAGTTGTCAAAACAGGAACAGAACACTGTGGCGGGGGATATTGATGATCATGTTTTCTTGTGTTCTTTGTGGTTTCCAAATGTGTCCTTATGTTCTGTGGGGGTTTCAAGACTGGTTCCATGTGTTCCATGTGTGATTACAGCGCCTAGCAGAGCTGCTGTCGGAGGAGGCCCGGAACCTGGAGAGCATACGTTACCCAGTTATCCGGCAAGGGAGGCTGTCGCAGATAGTCCAGGGGCTGGACCTGCAGGAGGAGGAGGAACTACAGCAGGTGACAGGGGGGATTACAGGGATGCTTCCAGGGAGTATATATATGTCCTGCCAAAGAAACATGGGGACAGTGGGGTAGCCTAGTGGTTATCATGTTCGCTTGTCACACTGAAGACCCTGGTTCGATTCCAGAATTGGGCACTATGTGTGAATCACAATTTCCGGTATCCAATGTTGTGATGTTGCTGAAATATTGCTATGAGCGATGTTCAGCTGTACTTGATTACCTACCCAGCTAGGATGCCTGAATATTTATCTCAGCAGACTTTCTTTGGAAGTGGGTAGGTCAGGGACCAAGCATTTCATATTCCATCTATATACCATGTTTGTAACATCTTGCATGTACTTTTCTTATTATACTCACCTAATCCAGAAGATTGTTCATCCAGACTGTTTCAGTGGTTACCATCCTGATAACAGGCTTTCAGACTATTTTAGAAAGTAGACTAATCTCCCCTTTCTGCTGCAGGCTGTGAGGTTCCTGCATGAGGGCGGGGTCCTGCTCCACTACAACGAGACAGCGCTGCAGCTGAGAGACTTCTACTTCATCAACCCTGGCTGGTTGTGTCGGATGATGGCACAAGTGGTCACTGTCAGGATGATCAATCCATTCATTGACCCTTTGACTGGGGTAATTGAATACTACATGAAATTATATCTTGTTGGTTTTGTTTTTTTATTTTGATGCAGGTAGATTGTCTTTGTGCATATTATAAACCATGACTGTGTTGGGTTTGAAAGTATTTGCCCCTTGAATTGTAATTGGTAAGTTGGTTGCTTGGTTGGTTTGTTGTTTAATGCCGCCCTGAGCAATATTCCAGCTATATGGTGGCAGTCTGTAAGTAATCAAGTCTGGACCAGACAATCCAGTGATCAACAGCATGAGCATCGATCTACACAATTGGCATACAATGACATGTGTCAACCAAGTCAGCGAGTCTGACCACCCGATCCCATAAGTCGCCTCTTACGACTAGCATGGGTTGCTGAAGACCAGTTCTAAACCAGATCTTCACAGGTGTACTGAAAAGCTGTACAAACATCAAATTGATACCACCACTGGCTGGTCAAGTGGTCAAAGGTAATCACGATCCTTATCTTTGTCAGTAGCGTTGGGGATCCCAGGGAAAGTCTGGATCAGGTTCTGTGGGCTCTGGGTGAGATCCTATGCCCTGTGCATCATGGATTCGTAACCTGGATTAACCCATATTGTTTCTAGTTTTGTCTCGGCCTTGCAGAGATCATACTGAACCATGGAGTCTTGAGTCATGGACTGCAGGACCAAGTCTGTTGATGATCTATAAGATGTGAGTTGGTATGAAGAGTACTGTGGATCGTTGGTAATCAATGTGATAACTGAGAGTCCTATTGGATGATGTTGGAGGAGCTGTGAGGATGTAGGAGTTTAGGATATTAATCTGACCTAGTATCCTCTTAAGATGTTTCCTTGTAATGTAAATTTCTTTGTTTCTTGCAGATAATGAAGAAGTGTGATGTGAGCTTGTTGTTCCGAGGAGAATCATTCCCCAACAGCCTAATACCCCAGTATCTCAGACTCCTCGAGAAGTAAGTACTAAGACATGATAGTATGTCAGGATTTCTTGGCTTTGAAATCAAACACATGTGGATCCTGGTCAGAGTAAGGGATATAACTCTGCAATGCAAGTTACAGCTATTGTGAATTTGTTTGTTGTTTAATGCTGCACTCAGCAATTTTTCAGCAATGTGATGGTGACCTGTAAATAGTCGAGTCTGGGCAAGACAATCCAGTGATTGACATCATGAGCATCGATCTACACAATTAGGATATGACAAGAATGAGTTGCTGAACAGTCTTTACGGCCGAACAATTTTGAAGCAAATGATACAGAATATAGTAATTTAGATGATGTATATTTAGTAGGGGAGCATCCATTTGTATACTTTGAGGTGGATAGGAAGGTATCTTTTTCCATATTTTCATTTTCTTGTTTCAGATTTGAAATAGCATTGCCGAGGAACGAGGAGGAGTTACTGATCCCTTGTCGCCTTCCTGAACAGAAACCTGCCCTCAGAATGCCTAACTTGTCCAAACATGGTAGGTTGGGACTTGGAGACAGGTCGTCCATTTAAGGGAAGCATGGATGAGAGGGATTTGATGCACTGACAGGGTGGAAAACCATGGACGTCCGAGAGGGGGCAAGCAAATTTGTATATCACACTGTACTGGTGTCCAGTTGACTTTCCAATGTTAATTATGTTGTTTTATTTAAACAATCAACAAGAAAACGGCCGGTACAGTGGAAAAATGATCAGGGCAAGTGATTTTACATGTGCCACTGTACCGGAGTACACTAGCAATTTTAAAGTTATTTCCACCCTGACTGATGTACAGAAAGTAGTTACTCTCGTCAATGCAAATTTTTGCTACCCTCGCTATGCGAGAAAAGACAAAATACAGAAGCTGCTTTTGTATATATTATGTCCATTTTTAACCTTCCTAAATATGTATTATATTTTATGACTCTACCAAGGAGATTGTGATGTTATTGGGCCCCACTAATTTCCTCTGACCCCTCCCCAAATGATACATGACTGGTCCCTCATGAATCCCCACATGGGCAATGTGTAGCCCCTTACCCTAATGTTGCTGAATATTGATGTTGTATTTGTATCAGTAGTAATATGACAGGGATCCCCTGATTGCTGGTCTAAATTGTAAGCATACATTTCATATATTCATGTCGAGTAATTGCAGAATTTCTGTGAATGGACATTGATGTTTAATTCCTGTAAGTAAAATGTACCTGTCACCATAACTTTATGTGATATTACGATTGCTGGCAAATTTATCCCTAAGTACATCAATAATTAAACGGTAAGGTAGCTTGTAAGTTACTGGAGGATGACTACAGGGATATTGCAGCTATGGACTCCTCAGGCACCCTATTGTTTGTCCATTTGTTGCATATTTTCCTTGTTGGAAGATATCATTGTGTCTTTTGTCCTGTTTTCCAGAGAAGATATCCCGGATCTACTCCATGCCGTTCACGCCGCTGGGCTTTTGGTCTCGTCTCATCACACGTCTCATCGTCTTCTCCAACAGCAACGTCACAGAGGTGAGTTGCACATCATGTCTGCCTGTCTCATCAATTGAACCAATACTTTCTAAATTGTGCTCATGTGATGATGGAAATATATCAATACAAATTAGAGGCAAATATGAAGAAGAAAATAAAGTACATATGAAATATTTGAAAATGTTAGGTGGTAAATATGAATATTTATGGATATTAATGAAGTAATTATTCCAGTTTGTCTTTTGCAATATTAGTGAAATTTTTTCTACTTTTACCAATACATGTAATTCAGTAACTGAGAACCAATTCTTTGATGTTCATGCTAATTATTGAGCAAATATATTTATATAAGTTAGACTGAATCTTAGTGTCAAATGAAGTATTGCTGTTCCATCCATCTTCAAGACCATGATGCAGCTTAGAAGGGAGCCTCAGATGCAGTACTGGAGACAAGGAATCCTCGTCAAGTGGTCAAAGGTAACCCTGATCCTAAGATCGGTCAGTAGTGTTAGGGGTCAGTCCCAGTGTTGAAAGGAGACAAGGCAGAGTGCTGGAGACAGGGATCCCAAGGGAATCTGGTTAGGTGCTTTAGGGTCAGGGTCAGATCCCATGCTGGTGATGAAAGGAGACAAGGCAGCCTCAGTGCTGGAGACAGGGATCCTCGTCAAGTGGTCAAAGGTAACTCTGATCCTTATATTGGGCTGTAGTGTTGGGGACCCCAGGGGAATCTGGGTTAGGTTCTGTGGGCTCAGGGTGAGATCCCATGCTGGTGATGAAAGGTTACCTACTGGATGACTTACTTGATTATGTGCCCTTACATCCCAGTGACATGGATTAATGTTCACAATAATGATTATTTTTCCTGGTCCAGACTTCACTATTTACTGGTCACAGTCATAAATCTGGAATATTGCTCAGTGCAATGTTAAAAACATACATAAACATTAGTAATGGGTTATTTGGTATGTGGTACTTTATATTCAGAAGCATACAAGATTGATGATTGTTCTTGATGAGATTCTGGGTCAGGATAGGTCCCCAGCTCTCCAGTAATGCTGAGGAGCTGCGACATTGCAAGTCCTTTACAGCTTGGATTTGTGCCCATGATGTCAACCACTGGATTTCTTGGTCCTGATTTCTCACTCAAGTGTAAAATAACATTACATTGAGAAAAACAGCTCACCACTCATCAGCTCGCCATTCATCAAAAATAAATCCACTCACCAGCTCAACCACTCACTCACTCACTCACTCACTCAGTATTTTACAAATCTGTCTGTACAGAGCTGGATATCATTGGCATGCCAGAGACCACATGTTCTTTTCATCAACTCTTCCATCATACAACTCACCCAACCACCAGTTATCTCACCCAGCCATCCATACATCAACTCGCCCAAACACCCGCCATCTCACCCAGCCTTCCATACATCAACTCACCCAACCACCAGTCATCTCACCCAGCCATCCATACATCAACTCACCCAACCACCAGTCATCTCACCCAGCCATCCATACATCAACTCACCCAACCACCAGTCATCTCATCTCAGCCATCCATACATCAACTCACCCAACCACCAGTCATCTCACCCAGCCATCCATACATCAACTCACCCAACCACCAGTCATCTCACCCAGCCATCCATACATCAACTCACCCAACCACCAGTCATCTCACCCAGCCATCCATACATCAACTCACCCAACCACCAGTCATCTCACCCAGCCATCCATACATCAACTCACCCAACCACCAGTCATCTCACCCAGCCATCCATACATCAACTCACCCAACCACCAGTCATCTCACCCAGCCATCCATACATCAACTCACCCAACCACCAGTCATCTCACCCAGCCATCCATACATCAACTCACCCAACCACCAGTCATCTCACCCAGCCATCCTTATATCAACTCGACCAACCACCAGTCATCTCACCCAGCCATCCATACATCAACTCACCCAACCACCAGTCATCTCACCCAGCCATCCATACATCAACTCACCCAACCACCAGTCATCTCACCCAGCCATCCATACATCAACACACCCAACCACCAGTCATCTCACCCAGCCATCCATACATCAACTCACCCAAACACCCATCCAACAACTTACCCAATAACCCATCAACTCACCCATCCACACAGCCATCAACTCAGACACAATCCATCAGTTCACTCACTGTTTAGCAATTCACCCATGCCCACGCCCACACACACACTCACACGCCTGTGCCTGCATACACCGACACCAGCACCCGCACATGCACACACCCATGTCAATGATCTCACCCACCCATCAATGATCTCACCCACCCGTCAATGATCTCACCCACTCGCTGACTGTTTCAGAGTGCCTTCTTCCTGGTGGATGCTACCAAGCAGCAGGAGAGCGAGGAGTTGTACATCACAGTGCCAGCCTCACAGCATGGCTACCAGTAGGTCCACACATCTACACTCACGACGTAACTTGGTCATACTAAACTGATTAGAATACAGATTAACTATCGTCATATGAAAGAATCAGGTTTTCTTTAACCCATTTTGAGTTTTATATGCTACTCACACTTTGATAAGGATCACAGAAAGTCACGACTTTACTTAATCGTAGATTTATAATATGAAATTGTATCCTTTTAAAAGTGGATAAATAACCCCTTTTTAGGCAGACAGCCACTTTATTTTAACCTTATGTACTTGAAACATGACTAACCAGAAAATGGTTTTCATGGCACCACTCAACCATTTTGCAAATCATGGAACGAGTCATTGACAAATAAACAACACTTGTGAATAGCAGGTACGGATCCACAAGATGCAATGACATACTGACACCTAGGAACCATGCTTACATAAGCTTAGATATTTAAACCAAATTTGACCCCACATCATAGTTTTCTGTTGAATCCATGATTTGATCTTTAGCAAAGTGTGAATAGTATATATTCTTCTGATGTCAGATCTGGTATATAAACTCATAGAAATGAATACAGGAACACATGAAAGTACAAGTGTTCCTCTATTTATTTCCAGAATTTCACTCACAGTGCAATACATACCTTGTGAAGAAACCTGGAAAAGAATAAAGGAACACTTGTACTTTCATGTGTTCCCGTATTCGTTTCCATGAGTATATTTTGAAAGGAATATCCAAAGTTGAAATCTCAGCTGAATAAGATATGGAAGAAATGGCCAAGGCTGAAATCTCTCTTCACTGCCATAAAATTACTTTTTGATTATTTGAAATAAACCAAAAACATGTAGCTGCCTGATTTGTCTTTTGCCATGGCCACTTTTAATATTTATTTTAGGACAATGTTTGTCTAGAACCTTAAAGTAGGTGCTGACAAGTTCATAACTAATTATGCACCCACAAACAAGAGTCCAGTGACTTCTTCGAGTGGCATTGAAAAGTTGGTGTTTTGAACAACGAGGAGAGTCCTATGGATATACAACTTCTTTTTATTAATATAATCGATGACGATGGTGTTAGTAGCTACACTGAAACGTCGCTCATATTAATAATACGGAAGTTGTATGTCCATAGGACTCTCCTCGATGTTCAAGAGTCCACTGTATTATCAATAGGGACTGAGGGAAATACTCCTGCTGTCTCTGTTGCAGACTTCTGGGCTTCCTGGCTGATCATATCGATGCTCTCATAGATGAGTGGTACCCCGGTTTAACCAGCATTGACCCCATCCTTGGCCGGGAGCTCCTGGAGAAGTTTGTTCCCTGTGTTAAGTGTAAAGGTACACACTCCAGCTCATCAATGGATTAGGATTTTACCACTGCCACAAGATAATGTTCTTGTCTTTCTTCTTGTATTGCTTTGGTTTGGTTTGGGTTTTTAAATGCCACACTCAGCAATATTTCAGCTGTATGGCAATGGTCCGTTAATAATCAAGTGATCAACAGCATGAGCATCAATCTATGCAATTTGGAGACGAGGGGTGACATGTGTCAACCGAGTCAGCCAGTCTGACAACCTGATCCTGTTAGTCACCTCCTACGACAAGCATGGGTTGCTGAAGGCAAATTATAAACTGGATCCTCACGGGTCTTATTTCATGTAAACAGACACACATTCAAAATCATAACAGTCAAGGCAACTGGAAGATATTCTTTGCAATTAACAGATTTTACATAATTTTTAAAACCTGCTGATGGCTGTTTGTGCTCTGCAGGGCCTGAACCGTACAAGTTTGTGTTTGAGGATCTGCTGCGACAGTCAGAGAGGAGTGATGTCATCAAATGCCCGTACCACGAAGATGACGTGCAGCTGGCAGATCTGGTGAGATATTGACATTTATACCATGGTTTCAGCCGAGTACCGGCAACTTGCAGACTTTAGTCTTGAATAAATTCATGACATGGCTTTTCAAGCCTGCAGCACTGTTATTGATGCTGTTTTCCAACTAAAACTTAGAGTGCAATTCCCACCATATTCATAATAACGAGAACATGGAAACACAAACATGTTACATAGTAATTTTCAGTTAAGGATAGAAGTGTATGTTTAAGGGAATGTTTAACATTATGTTGAGGTCTGCACTTTGACATATACATGCAACCACCAGTCATGTGCAGTGAGATATAGAGTACGTCAATATGCCTTTAAGGGTGACCACAAATGGGAAGGATTGATTTTTGCAGTTTTAAGCCAGAACAATTTTCAGTATGCTATTGGCATCAAAATACAGGGAACTCCAACTATCTCATCATCATCTTACTGAACAAATATAAGAAATTATTGAGTCTTACCTCGTGAATATTGAATAAGTGGTTATTAGTTGGGAAGAATATATTGTATTAAAATAATTTTGTTCTATGTACGATTAAGAAATGACTATGTTTAGTAAATCATGTAGATGATGTATGGGAAATGTACATTACTCTGTTTCCCCTCCAGGCACCAGATGTGATGTTGAGAGATTTGGAAGATAAGTTCCACATGGATTGTGATCAGCTGGAGCTGAAGGAGAGGTACGTGGAGGGGTCACTGAATCCTGGATCTGCAGCAGTAGTTGTGTTTTAGTGATGTATGGTTTCATACACAGCATGTAATCATCTATTTATTTTACTGTATTCTCCCAGCATTTAGTGTTATCTAACTATATATTCTAAATGTATAACATTTCTAGTCACAATATGGCTACATGCCTCTAAATCGTACTCACCTGCCTCATACCAATGGTAGCACGTGTAGTTACAGGTTGTTATCCCTTGTCACTTGTGAAGGGGATATAACTTGGGGTTTCATCCACCCAATTTCAGTGGAGAAAAACAAATTTTTGTAAACCCACTATAGACAGGAAGATGAAATATTGCATTAATTATATAGTAATTAAATATATTGAAAACCAGTAGGCTATTGGAAATATATTTCTGACAGAGTTATGGCCCTTGTCTTATCCCCTTGGTTTGAGACTGTATCAGCTTTGCTGACCATGCCAGCACCCTCTCCCTTTTTTGAGTAACATGTTTTAATATCCTCCCTGAGTCTTCTTGTACATATTGTTCAATTTCATAACTTATATTTTTCTATTAGAACTGTCATTTGTGATTTTATATACTGCTGCTTGCCCCGCCCAAATCTCACTGCCACACTGTATCCCCACACCCCCACCTCCATCCCTCCCCTTCTCTCATAACTGACAGTGCGTTATATGTTTGCTTCAGTATACCCAATCATCAAACACAAATTGAATACACATTTTCAGTGTGCTTTAGCTCAGACAGTGATGCACATCCTTATTTCCATGTGTGACATCTACAAGATTAACAGCACATGTGGCCTAATAAAACCGAGTATCTTTACTTGCAGTTCCGAGTACTTGCTTGGTGATGGGGGTTTCGGGGCTGTCTTCAAAGCCATCTATAAGAACCAGGTACATCAAATTTCTAATTGGGAGTTAACGTAATCCCTATTCTATTTTAGTAAAGGTAAGTAATCAGAACCATACCTGTGAACTCTCACGTATCCTGCGTGAGACTCATGCATTTTACTTCAATGTCATGCAATTACCTCTCAAAACTCACGCATCATTTAAAAAATATATTAAAAAATTGTTTAACAATGTAACATGCAATTATACTGAGAGAACATAGTTGTAGGACAGATATATCCAGATTATAAGAAAATTGTGAAATATTTGTTAATTGTTTATGTTTTTAAGTGTGTTTTTTTTTTGCCTTATAAACTACCACTAAATGACATAAAAATTATCTATAAATAATGTTCAACCCCCCACCCAGGGTGTCACCCCCTGGCCCCCAGCTTCTCACTCATTGGAACTCTCAGTGGTTGACAGCTATGCAGACCTGTCTTGAAGTCAATGTCCATTTCTTTATGATGACAGGCAACAGCTTTGTAGCTAATGAATATTGTAGGAAACTATATGTTACATAACAATGCAACATTGGAACTCAGTGTTCATGAAACAGTCATTTTCTTGGCCAAAAATGGTACAAATGTATAATGTTATTCACATAATGAAATGAATGTTTGACATGCCATATGTTGATGTTTTAGGTGGTTGCTGCCAAAGTGTTTGCTGCGATTGGCGACGTCCATCCTCACAAGATGCTGAGACAGGAGGTATGTCACTCTTGTAAAGAACTACACATTACATGGGCGGATCCAGGAATTTTGAAAGGAGGGGGTTCAGGGGTTTGAACCCCCTCAACCCCCCATTGGCTCTACCAACGCAAAAAATCTTTAATTTGATCTTAAGTCATTTTGAAAAGGGGGGTCCGAACCCCCTGAACCCCCCCTCAGGATCCGCCAATGCATTATGGGAATACACTATAGTGTCGTCTATAATGGCAGTGTCTCCACAGTTTGACCAGAGTTCAGTGGAGATCTACCTGAAGGGAGGTAGGGGTCGTGGGATAGCCTATGGGTTAAGGTGGTTGCTCTTCATGACAAAGGTCTAGATTCTATTCCCTATAGTGGGTTAAACTGTTGGGAGTTTCATCTGCCATGATATTGTGGATTTTTGCTAAGGCCAGACCAAGTTTATTTTGTGTTTTATGGATCCGCCGGTTATACTTTTTCAAGAATAAGAAAAAATAATAATAATAATTTTCCCTGCTTAAAAAAGTAAAATTCTAATGTTTTCTAATGTAAAATTACACAGAAAGTGTTTTTGAGATTGTTTTGTACCCCAAATACACCCTATAAAATGCCAAAAGTAAAATACTTTTACCATTTAAAAGGAATATTACTTTGACTAGTGACTTTTTTTAAAACTATTTTTCCTCCTGCCTTTAGGTTCTCTGAAGACAAAAATCCGTGCAACAAGAAATAAAATTGTTACTGGTACTGGCGTTACTCTTTCATCAGTACCAGGGCATAAAGTGATAAATATCTGAGATTTGCTTTACTTTGGGATTTCCTTTTACATTAAACTGACATGAGTTAATTATCATTAGTTTATGTTATGAACTTGGAAAAGCACCTCTCACTTAAATGGTTAGCTCAGTATTATTTGCAATATTACCATTGTGTATTGCTACCAGAAATTAAAGTGACTGAGCTAATATCCAAGATTATACAGTCCCACATCATTCCTTGATGGGTGTAGCTCAGTGGTTAAAGTGTCCGCTCGTCGCACTGAAAACCCGGGTACATTGTGTAAAACTCAACTCACTCTCTCATTCATTCCTTGATGTATGTTCCAGGCCACCATCCTGAGACGACTGAACCACCCTAGTGTGGTGTCCCTGATCTCGGTGGGACTCCGCCCAAGCAGGGTGGTGTTGCTGGAGTTAGCTGCCCTTGGTTCACTGGGGTCACTGTTGAAGGGCAACAAGCCTCTAAGCAGATCCTTACAACACAGAATAGCTGTCCAGGTAGAGTCAGTGATGCTTCAACTAATCTATGGATAACAGCACTTTTAAAGAAAACCATTTTGATATATATAGATATAGCGGTAGTCTATTCTGTTTGTGTTGTATTTATGTGGTAAAGTGGTGGGAATGCTGCAATTTGATTGTTTGAAAAAAATATGGTCTATGAGATTGTTACTTGTTTGTCTTTTGTTTCTTATTTGAATGATTTTTATATTTTTAGCAGTATTGTGTGTTTTGAACCAACAAGACAACACAATCAACACAGATTCTGAACATAATAAATATCCAGACAATGGTTTCTCCCTAGGTGGCTGAAGGCCTCCAGTATCTCCATCTGCTGATGGTGGTGTACCGCGACCTCAAGCCGGACAATGTCCTTATCTTCAGCAACTCCCCCAGCGCCCTGGTAGGTACCAGTTCCATGCTACTCTATCATATAATTCATTCAAGATTTGACATTTCTTTTTGCATGTACAGGACACAAAGACATGGCTGAAATATTGCTGAAAGCAGTGTAAAACAACATTCAGTGGCCTATTTTACTGCAGCGTGTAAACAGCTCCTGAACCTTCACATCAAGATTGGGTGACTGTTCCTGTTCTGTGTGCAGGTGAACGCCAAGATCTCTGACTACGGCATCTCCCAGTTCACGACCCTGTATGGGCTGACCGCCCAGGAGGGGACGCCAGCCTACAGGGCCCCCGAGGTGGTCCGGAGGGAGACTTACTCCTTCCAGGCGGACGTCTTCTCATTCGGCATCACATTGTACTGCCTGCTGACGGGTCGACATCCATATGACGAGCTTGAGTTCAAGTCAGAGATGGACAAGGCTGTCGCTGAGGTGTGTGTTTGGTGCTAAATGTGGAAATATTCACTCAAATTTCTTGTTTTGATAAAATCTATACCCACATAACTTATTAAGCTTCATAAACATGTTTTACAACTATCGTGGCTTGAATTGAAATAAGGACTCTTGATTATGAGGGTTGATTATGGGACACAATATGTCCTCCCTGGAAATGGAAGATAACCAACAAGGATCATATATATATATGTTAATTCATGATCCAGAATTTGTTCAACTCATGACTTTCACAAGATAATATATGTTAAAGCAAAAAAGGATTTATTGTGAGGTGAAAAGGAAGATCAGTAAAATGATTTCACTTGTCTAGTTATGGGTGTAGACAGATTTTACTAGACTGGACTTACGCTGGTTTCACAATGCTAGCCCGTTACGTTGACGTATATACACAATGATGTTTAAAGTAGGTCGTTATTGTATTTTATGATATCTTTGTATTCATGTAAGATTTGTTAAATAGTATTGTATAACTATTAGTACATTATGCCTGTGTACCCGTGAAGATCCGGGTTAGAATATTGATCTTCAGTAACCCATGCTTGTCGTAAGAGGCAACTAACGGGATCGGGTGTCAGGCTCGCTGACTTGGTTGACACATGTCATCGGTTCCCAACTGCGCAGATCGATACTCATGCTGTTGATCACTGGATTGTCTGGTCCAGACTCGATTATTTACAGACCACCGCCATATAGCTGGAATATTGCTGAGAGCGGCGTAAAACTAAACTCACTCACTCACTATGTCTGTGTTTGCTATAACCTTGTTTTACTGTGTTTTACTCTGTCCATCAGAACCGACCCGTCCAAGCTATCACTCAGAGAGGTCAGGCACCATGGCCAGACATGCAGGATGTCATTACACAGTGCTTGCAGCAGATCCCAGACCATAGACCCACGGTCAGTTTCCATGGCAACTAGCAATAGAGTGTACAGTGTACAGAGAAGCAATTGGAAATATAAGATTATTTATGTACGCTGTGCAGGTGTATTCGGCTGTATGAAAGAAACCTATAATTATGGATATAAATCCCAGTTTCGATGTTTGTCAACACCAAACCCATTCACTTGGGTTTCACCAAAGGGGTAAACACCTATAACCTGTATCACATGGGATTTCTTCTCCCATTATGCTGACGCTGGAAGACTGTTCGAAGCAGCACTAATTCCATCTCATTCACTTGCTTGAGGAACAGGTTTTGACTATTGTTCATTTGAACAAAATAGTTAACACCAAGCAAAGGGTTACCCTTGATTGACGAGGTTGTGATGTTGTAGTCCAGTGATCTGGTGGAGAGGTTGGCGTCGGCGGAGCTGTTCTGTCTGAAGGATGTCATACCGGTGTCTGTGGGCACCACGGTGGAGTGTATGGCTCATCAGGTCAGTTCCACGCAACATACACACGCAATCAGTAAAACTGACACACCATTATAATACAAGACAAATAGACAATTTGGTAATTCAAAACTTGTCTTCTCACTGTTGTTGATTCACATGTACTTTTCATTCACCCGATGAAGGCGTAAGAATATTCTCTGAAACATCGTGTTCTTCAAAATAAAGAAGTTGACATACATACCATTCTTGCCTTTCACCATAATGGAAGTCAAATAGTTCAAAATGTAAAGCCAGAAATATGTCTTGATTACACTCTAGATTCCATAGTGATGCAAAGAAAATTTATCACTGAAAATAATTGATGTAAAAGCAAATATTTGTGAAAAGGGTAGGCATGCCACTTGTAGCAGTTGTCACTCACACAACTTTCTTAAGAATGTGATATAATGGAACTGTAACTAATTGCTTGTGGTCGAAACAATCCAGTAATCAGTATCATGAGCTCTGATCCTCCTTGATAGACTACATAATTAAATACTGATCCCTAAGAGTCATAAGAGGCAACCAAATGGTTTGGGTGGTCCGAGTCTTGGTCGAATGTGACCGAGTACATCTATGCTCATAACGCATATCATTGGATTGTCTGGTCCAGACTTGATTATTTATGGATGACCAACATATAGCTGGAATATTGCTGAGTGTGCCGTGAAACATGAATCTTTAATGGGTGTCACAAGACCTTAAATACAGTTGGGATTCAGTTATATGAACAGTGTGTCTGTTAGACTGAGTACGGGCTGCACCAGAGGAGCCAATCAGAAAGCTTGTAATGGGTGGTAGTAAAGATAAACATGGCTGACCCCGAAGAAATGTTCGTCTGACTTTAATTTCAAATAAGAAATAACAACAAATAACAGAGTCGGTCTTGCCTTTGTAACACCAGAAGAAAGAATAGTCATATAAACTTGGATAAAATTGGTGAATTTTGTTATTGCCATCCGAGTTTCTGAAATATCCTGAGTTTATCTTTGAATTATGTTAATACTTTCTCAGGTACTGGGTGAGGACAATGTTCGTCTGTGGGTTGCCAGCGGTGACAGTGACTACATGCAACTGAGCTGGCTCAACCTACTCGACTACCACGACGACAGCAGGGGCAAGCTAAGCCGCAAGTCTATAGACTACAGTGTAAGTAGCGAGGCTTGACAAACCATAGTCATGCAGTGTGGTGTTGAAGCTGAAAGGACCTGTGTAAATACTTGGAGTTAGCGAATTGGACACAACCACAAATTGATTACTGAATAAGTATTACCAAGCATAGTATAGTGACCAAGCTTTCACTTTCACTTTCACTTCACCTTAAGCTTAGACAGTGTAGTTTGACTATATTTGTGTACCTGTACTAGCCAAAAATAAAAATATCCCACTTGGAAATTTTTTACAGAAAAGGTGCCAATGACTTGTGAAACTCAGGAATTTGACGTTTCAATCTATACAGTTAGGACATAATCTGTGTCAACCAAGTCCATGGAAACAATTCGGACAGTAAAAAGATAATCATGCTGGACTTTAAGTAACTGTCAGATGATTTGTTCTTTCAAATTTGTGAGGCCCAGGGGGCTTTGTCATCTTCTGATGACTCTTGTTTCAGTGTGCCAGGGGGCACTGAAAGAGACAATTAGTTGTGCCTTTTGGAATGTTAGTGTATAGAAGATTCCTCTTGATCCTAACACCAGGAATCTAGCTGTCATTGACTGCTTCGTCTCTTCAGGGCAGGGTGATGCGTGAGGGTAGAATCCTGTGCATCCTTCCTATAGACGAGGACCACGTGCTGCTGGGCACACAGACTGGCTTGATTTGGGTGTTCAATGCTAAGGATTGTGATCTGAAACATTCCACCAGGAGGCTGCCGGACTCTGTCCTCTCACTACTCCTCATCAAAAGGTGGGTCCTGGCATAGAACGTGGAGTAGATGGGTCGGATGGGGTCATGGTTGAAGAGTTTATTGATGGTTGAAAAGTGGATGGTGGGTTTAGTTGATGGAGAGGTGAGTTGATGGAAGGTGAGTTGATTGAGGGTTGAGTTGATTGTTGTTGAGTGGATGGCGATGTGTTTAGTTGATTGAGAGGTGAGTTGATGGAAGGTGAGTGGATTGAGGGTTGAGTTGATGGTTGGTGAGTGGATGATGTGTTTAGTTGATTGAGAGGTGAGTTGATGGAAGGTGAGTGGATTGAGGGTTGAGTTGATGGTTGGTGAGTGGATGGCGATGGGTTTAGTTGATGGAGAGGTGAGTTGATGGAAGGTGAGTGGATTGAGGGTTGAGTTGATGGTTGGTGAGTGGATGATGTGTTTAGTTGATTGAGAGGTGAGTTGATGGAAGGTGAGTGGATTGAGGGTTGAGAAGATGGTGAGTGGATTGAGAATTTAGTTGATGGAGAGATGAGTTGATGGAAGGGGAGTTGATTGAGTTGAGTTGATGGTTGTTGAGAGGATGGCGATGGGTTTAGTTGATTGAGAGGTGAGTTGATGGAAGGTGAGTTGATTGAGGGTTGAGTTGATGGTTGTTGAGTGGATGATGATGGGTTTAGTTGATTGAGAGGTGAGTTGATGGAAGGTGAGTGGATTGAGGGTTGAGTTGATGGTTGTGAGTGGTGGATGTTTAGTTGATTGAGTTTGAGTTGATGGAGGTGAGGTTGAGTTGATGAGTGGATGGTGTTTAGTGGATTGAGGGTTTGAAGTTGATGGATTGAGGTTGAGTTGGATGGATGATGGGTTTAGTTGATTGAGAGGTGAGTTGATGGAAGGTGAGTGGATTGAGGGTTGAGTTGATGGTTGGTTGAGTGGATGATGTGTTTTAGTTGATTGAGAGGTGAGTTGATGGAAGGTGAGTGGATTGAGGGTTGAGTTGATGGTTGTTGATGAGTGGATGATGATGGGTTTAGTTGATTGAGAGGTGAGCTGATGGAAGGTGTGAGTGGATTGAGGGTTGAGTTGATGGTTGGTGAGTGGATGATGATGGGTTGAGTTGATGGTTGAGAGGTGAGTTGATGGAAGGTGAGTGGATTGAGGGTTGAGTTGATGGTTGGTGAGTGGATGATGATGGGTTTAGTTGATGGAGAGGTGGAGTTGATGGAAGGTGAGTGGATTGAGGGTTGAGTTGATGGTTGGTGAGTGGATGATGTGTTTAGTTGATTGAGAGGTGAGTTGATGGAAGGTGAGTGGATTGAGGGTTGAGTTGATGGTTGGTGAGTGGATGATGATGGGTTTAGTTGATGAGAGGTGAGTTGATGGAAGGTGAGTGGATTGAGGGTTGAGTTGATGGTTGTTGAGTGGATGGATGATGGGTTTAGTTGATTGAGAGGTGAGTTGATGGAAGGTGAGTGGATTGAGGGTTGAGTTGATGGTTGTTGAGTGGATGATGATGTGTTTAGTTGATTGAGAGGTGAGTTGATGGAAGGTGAGTGGATTGAGGGTTGAGTTGATGGTTGGTGAGTGGATGATGATGGGTTTAGTTGATGAGAGAGGTGAGTTGATGGAAGGTGAGTGGATTGAGGGTGAGTTGATGGTTGATGTTGGTGAGTGGTGGATTGATGGTTGTTTAGTTGATGGAGAGGTGAGTTGATGGAAGGTGAGTGGATTGAGGAGTTGATTGAGTTGAATTGATGGTTGTTGAGTGGATGATGATGTGTTTAGTTGATTGAGAGGTGAGTTGATGGAAGATGAGTGGATAGAGGGTTGAGTTGATGGTTTGGTTGATGAGTGAATGGATTGAGAGGTTGAGTTGATTTAGTGAGTGGATTGAGTTGATTGGAGGTGAGTTGATGGAAGATGAGTGGATTGAGGGTTGAGTTGATTGGTTGGTGAGTTGATGGAAGGTGAGTGGATTGAGGGTTGAGTTGATGGTTGGTGAGTGGATTGAGGGTTTAGTTGATTGAGAGGTGAGTTGATGGAAGGTGAGTGGATTGAGGGTTGAGTTGATGGTTGGTGAGGATTGAGGGTTTAGTTGATTGAGAGGTGAGTTGATGGAAAGTTGATTGAGGGTTGGTGAGTTGGTGAGTGAGGTTTAGTTGGAAGGTGAGTGGATTGAGGGTTGAGTTGATGGTTGGTGAGTGGATTGAGGGTTTAGTTAATTGAGAGGTGAGTTGATGTAAGGTGAGTGGATTGAGAGGTGAGTTGATGGAAGGGGAGTTGATTGAGGGTTGAGTTGATGGTTGGTGAGTGGATTTAGGGTTTAGTTGATTGAGAGGTGAGTTGATGGAAGGTGAGTGGATTGATGATGGGTTTAGTGGATTGAGGGGAGTGGATTGAGGGGGTTGAGTTGATGGTTGGTGAGTGGATTGAGGATTTAGTTGATGGTGAGAGGTGAGTTGATGGAAGGTGAATGGATTGAGAGGTGAGTTGATGGAAGGGAGTTGATTGATGGATTGAGTTGATGAGGATTGGTAAGTGAATTTAGGGTTTAGTTGATTGAATGGATTGAGAGGTGAGTTGATGGAAGGGGAGTTGATTGAGGGTTGAGTTGATGAGTGGATGAGAGGTTGAGTTAGTTGATGGAGAGGTTGAGTTGATGAGTGGTGATGAGTTGTTGAGGTGAGAGTTCGTTGATGGAAGGAGTGGATTGATGGTGGGTTGAGTTGATGGTTGGTGAGTGAATTTAGGGTTTAGTTGATGGAGAGGTGAGTTGATGGAAGGTGAGTGGATTGAGGGTTGAATTGATGGTTGTTGAGTGGATGATGATGGGTTTAGTTGATTGAGAGGTGAGTTGATGGAAGATGAGTGGATTGAGGGTTGAGTTGATGGTTGGTGAGTGGATTGAGGGTTGAGAAGATGGTGAGTGGATTTATGTTTTAGCTGATGGAGCTTGAGTTGATGGCAGGTTGAGTTGATGGAGGGTTGAGTGGATGTGGGATTCAGCTGTGGATTCAGTTGGTGGGTTGAACTAGTGAAGATGATGTATGGTTTTGTAGCTGGGATAACCTTGATTTCAGTACTAACATTTGTTGGCATGTGTTACAGGAGAGGGGACAATCTGGTGCTTGCAGGTTTAGCCAATGGAGGGATCAAATTCTGTCCTGTCTCAGAGATTCTGGAGGTGAAAACATTATGAGTTTTAAGCAGCACCAAATGTATAGGATGTCCGAAATTATTTTCACATAACACCATCTCAAATTATTGCTGTAGGTAGATGACGCTTGGTACATGACATCTAAAAATCAGACCATGGTTGAAATAAATTGACAGTGACCTGTTTATGAGGTCAAGGTCACTGTAAAGGTCAATCTAAGTGAGAATAGCATGTGCCACAGTTACATCACTGAATTCACAATCAAAACGTTATTATTAAATTTACCTGATGTAAGTATGCATAGGCAGATCAGGGGAGGGGTGGGTGGGTTGAAAGTTTATTAAATGATCATTGAAACTCTTGTGAAACGAAATGAACTGTGCACCCACCCACCCAGTGTGTTCTTAAAAGAATGGGTCAGGAGTTATTTTAAATACCAAACTTTGATAGCCAACTTTGAGTTTAATGTATATGTAACCCAATTCACTCACTCACTCATCACTGGCTACATCCCCCAGGAGCCAGACAGCACCCTACTTGGGATGAACCTGGGCAAGTCACACGAACCGGTGCGATGTCTCGTGCAGGTCGACAAGAGGATCATAGCTTCCTGTGGCACCAAGGTCGTCATTTTCATCAGCTCCAGGAACGGTCTTGGGATAGAAAAGGATTTTGATACAGTTAAAAGCAGGTCTGTGTTATCGGTTGCGTTTACCATCGGTCACAGGGTTGTCTGGTCCAGACTGGAGTATTTACAGCCATCATGTAGTTGTGATATTGTTTAGTGTGGCACAACAACGTCCAAAACAAAACTGATCAAGCATAATGTGCCAAAACAATTAGGGTGAGCTTCAGAGCCTAGTGGAGTAGATGCACAGAATATGACAGTACTTGGGACTAGGAGGGCACAATGGGTGCTGTTTGAGATTACCTAGCTGTAGCTCACCTAGTACAAACATACCCATGAAGACCCATGTTAGAATTGGTCTTCAGCAACCCATGCTTGTCGTAAGAAGCGTGTAACAGGATCGGGTAGTCAAGCTTGTTTACTTGGTTGACACATGTCATCGCATCCCAGTTGCGTAGATCGATGCTCATGTTGTTGATCACTGGACTGTCTGGTACCATATAGCTAGAATATTGCTAAAAGCATCGTGAAACCTTACTCACTCACTCACTACTATCAACCACAGGTTTTTCGCTCTCGACCTCTGTTCATATTGCAGGCTATCTTGCAAAAGCTGTCTCAGATGTAAACATTTCCTTTTAAAAGTTGCAAATCCCTACAAACATGGCTAGTTCAGAAATTTTAACTCACTTACATGGTTCTTAACTTCTTTTGAGTTGTAAAAACTCCTATGTCACTCACTCACACACTAACGCACACACTCTCTCACGCACACACTCGTTCAATAGTTCACTCATGCACTGAGATATTAGGTCCTACCTGCAGTTGTTTCGGTAACACAGTCTGTTCTATGTTCCAGTGGCAAAGTGAGGTCCCCCATCTGTACTATGGCAGTAGGACGTCACATCTTTCTGTCTCGGCGTCGGTCTGCCATGCTGGAGGTGTGGGACCAGAACAAGGAGAGACAGAGGGGCTGTTGCAACATCGCGGACACATTCAGGTGAGGTCTTGAATCTCATGATCAGAGTGTTCTTGCCTGGTGACCGCCTCCGTGGAGAAGCGGAAGGTCGCGGGTTCGATCCCCGACCGCGTCATACCAAAAGACGTTAAAATATGGTACTTGTTGGTCCCTGCCTGGCGCTCGGCATTAATGGGTACAACAAGGACTGGTCGGCTCGGAGTCAGTATAATGTGTCTGAGTGGGGTATTCATGCTTCACTGCGGCATGGTATCTCAGTGAGCTAGCACTATAAAACCAGCTTCAGTCTGGGCTAGTACAAGCAGCCGCACATACACATACACACGCATGCACGTTGTCATATGAGCGAAATATTCTCAAGCACGACGTAAAACCGAATTTCACCTCACCTCACCTCTTGCCTGGCTATTGGAACCAACACAGCATGTTACTGCATCTGAGGGGGCCACCTTGGTCCCCACAGAATCTAAACTGGTTCTATGTTACACCACCATTGCAGTTAACACCATTATTTCTCCCAATCAGAATTTCAACAGATGAAGCCAGAATCACATCCATACTGTACCTACAAGACAGCCGGGCATTGTGGGTAGGAACTGGTGGAGGTCACGTGGTGGTGGTGGATGCAGTGTCCCTGGCGCCGATCATGCAGACCGCCCGGCACACGGCGTCGATTAGATCACTGATGGCAATCAAGTCTATAGGTAGGTGAATACTTCCCTCTGTGGTCGACCTGTAGATGAGGGGTAGTAGAGATCGACCTTCAGATGAGGGGTAATAGAGGTCGACCTTCAGATGAGGGGTAATAGAGGTCAACCTTCAGATGAGGGGTAATAGAGGTCGACTGTCAGATGAGGGGTAATAGAGGTCGACCTTCAGATGAGGGGTAATAGAGGTCGACCTTCAGATGAGGGGTAATAGAGGTCAACCTTCAGATGAGGGGTAGTACAGGTCGACCTTCAGATGTGGGGTAATAGAGGTCGACCTTCAGATGAGGGATAGTAGTTCTTACAGTGTTTCCTCGGCACATTGAAGACCTGGGTTTGTTTCTACTCATCGGTTTAATAGCCCTTGGTGCCCTGTCCTTCATTAGACAGCGTATGGTAATGCCATTCTGTTGTTATGATGCATACCCTGGATCTGTTTATAGCCCTTGGTGCCCTGTCCTTCATTAGACAACGTATGGACATTCTGTTGTTGTTTATAGCCCTTGGTGCCCTGTCCTTCATTAGACAGCGTATGGTAATGCCATTCTGTTATTATGATGCATACCCTTGTTTATAGCCCTTGGTGCCCTGTCCTTCCTTCATTAGACAATGCCATGGTAATGCCATTCTGTTGTTTATAGCCCTTGGTGCCCTGTCCTTCATTAGACAGTGTATGGTAATGCCATTCTGTTGTTTATAGCCCTTGGTGCCCTGTCCTTCATTAGACAGTGTATGGTAATGCCATTCTGTTGTTATGATGCATACCCTGGACCTGTTTATACCCCTTGGTGCCCTGTCCTTCATTAGACAGTGTATGGTAATGCCATTCTGTTGTTTATAGCCCTTGGTGCCCTGTCCTTCATTAGACAGCGTATGGTAATGCCATTCTGTTGTTATGATGCATACCCTGGACCTGTTTATACCCCTTGGTGCCCTGTCCTTCATTAGACAGTGTATGGTAATGCCATTCTGTTGTTTATAGCCCTTGGTGCCCTGTCCTTCATTAGACAGCGTATGGTAATGCCATTCTGTTGTTATGATGCATACCCTGGACATGTTTATAGCCCTTGGTGCCCTGTCCTTCATTAGACAGCGTATGGTAATGCCATTCTGTTGTTTATAGCCCTTGGTGCCCTGTCCTTCATTAGACAGCGTATGGTAATGCCATTCTGTTGTTATGATGCATACCCTGGACATGTTTATAGCCCTTGGTGCCCTGTCCTTCATTAGACAGCGTATGGTAATGCCATTCTGTTGTTTATAGCCCTTGGTGCCCTGTCCTTCATTAGACAGCATATGGTAATGCCATTCTGTTATTATGATGCATACCCTGGACATGTTTATAGCCCTTGGTGCCCTGTCCTTCATTAGACAGTATGGTAATGCCATTCTGTTGTTATGATGCATACCCTGGACATGTTTATAGCCCTTGGTGCCCTGTCCTTCATTAGACAGCGTATGGTAATGCCATTCTGTTGTTTTATACCCCCATGGTGCCCTTGTCCTGTCTTCATTAGACAGCGTATGGTAATGCCATTCTGTTGTTTTGAGGCCTGTGGTGCCCTAGTCCTTGGTGCCCTGTCCTTCATTAGACAGTATGGTAATGCCATTCTGTTGTTATGATGCATCATTAGACCTGCCATGGTAATGCCATTCTGTTGTTTATAGCCCTTGGTGCCCTGTCCTTCATTAGACATTAATGACATTCTGTATGGTTAATGCCATGGTCTGTCCTTCATTAGACAGTATGGTATGCCATTCTGTTGTTATGATGCGTACCCTGGACATGTTTATAGCCCTTGGTGCCCTGTCCTTCATTAGACAGCGTATGGTAATGCCATTCTGTTGTTTATAGCCCTTGGTGCCCTGTCCTTCATTAGACAGCGTATGGTAATGCCATTCTGTTGTTTTGAGGCCTTGGTGCCCTGTCCTTCATTAGACAGCATATGGTAATGCCATTCTGTTGTTATGATGCATACCCTGGACATGTTTATCACCTCAGAGGTGATCCAACGAGCTCCATGTCTCTTATTACTAGTTAACCTTGAAATCAACAGCCAATCAAAACAGCTCCTCTGTCTCAAGTTTGGCATGGTACTGTTACAAAATTACTGCCTTATATGACCAAACCCCTGATCTGTTTGATGGAATCAAGAGACTGTTATGATATTGTGTTTGGTTAAAACAGTAGTATCAAGATGGGTGAAGTCTTTTTCAGAGGAGATTCCAGTTGTGTTTGTGAAGGCATGTGAAAGTTGGTTTGAATCTTCTCAGGTTTCCTGGTTTCGTTCATGAAAGACATTTGTAATTTGATTGGATGTCTGTTATTAGCGTTTTGTCTTTTGAACCAGGTATTTATTGTAATAGTATGGAAATTTAATCAATGGATAATAATAAAAATAATAATTTGTACCTCTATAGAGCTAAATCCCATACACCAAGTGCATGCCTGAAGCACATACAAACAGACAGTTCATTATTACCCCGGATAACCCAAGCTGCCTGTGAGGCACTAGAAGGTTATGGTCACATGACCACCGGGTACCCATTTTCTGCTGGGTGTTGCTTTTCAAATGATATGTATTGCAGTATTTTTCCTGAGAACCGGTATATTGGGAAAAGAACATATATGAAGTTTTGTCATTATCGTTATGGTTTAAATTAATATCTACACAGACCTTCATTCACACCAAATGTTTTCCTTGGTTATTCAATGACAAAACGGCATGCTATAGTGTAATACTATAAGTTGTATAAAATGGTCAAAAGAATAACTGATTATGCAACCTAATATGGGATTACTATTATCAGAACCGTAACATTTATGTTTAGGGACTTGTAATGTAGAAAATAGGATTGACATGCACAATTAGTGTCACCTACTGTCAAACAATTAAGTTCCCAATATATCACAATACGTATCGCAATACGGGTACCTGAATCGCAATATATTGCAGTACAATTTATTTGGCAACACACAGCCCTAATTATTGGTGACTTCTTGCCCCTTACATGTGTTTCTTTGAATGTTTAAATTACTAACATGGGTCAATTCTTGTTTCAGCATATCAGCCATGCTCAGTTGTCCTGAGTGGAGGACTTGGATTTCGACACAGACCTGAGGCTGAAGTTAAGAAAGGTTAGAGCTGAGTTGAGATGGAAGAGTGTGAACGTATGGTTGGGATTACGAGGGATGCTGATTGTAAACTGAATCACACAAAACATATATGTTCCATGTCCAGAGCAAAGCTTGTAAACTAGGGCTAAACTGTGCCTTCTGCCCTTCAGGAATTAGGGGCGGTGGGGTAGCCTTGTGGTTAAAGCGTTCACTTATAATGCTGAAGACCCGGGTTTCGATTCCCAACATGGGTTCAATGTGTGAAGCCCATTTCTGGTGTCCCCTGCTGTGATTTATATTGCAGGAATATTGCTAAAAGCAGTGTAAAACTAAACTCACTCACTAACTCTTCAGGAATTACATTTCCAAACCCCTACTCCCCCATATGGTGCAGGAAGATATTAGCTATTAGTATTTTGGTCTGACTGCACATCCTATTTTACATAGCAGAACTAACAACCCGTTTGCCGTTTCTTTATGAACTTTCTCACATAAGGTTGTGAACGGGGAATTTTTGTTTGTTGTGCACATAATGGAAGAACGTTTGATTAGGTTTGAGCTTGGACTGTGGTCAAACTGCTGGAGAAACTTCAGTATTCAACCAAGGTGCCATTGTACAAAACAAGCTTAGCGTAAAGACTACCTTAAGTCTATGTTAAGGTATGGGAGTTACGGTCACCTTAGTACTAAGACTATCTTAAAGTCTATGTTAGGGTATGGGAGTTACGGTCACCTTAGTACTAAGACTACCTTAAGTCTATGTTAGGGTATGGGAGTTACGGTCACCTTAGTACTAAGACTATCTTAAGTCTATGTTAGGGTATGGGAGTTACGGTCACCTTAGCACTAAGACTACCTTAAGTCTATGTTAGGGTATGGGAGTTATGGTCACCTTAGTACTAAGACTACCTTAAGCCTATGTTAAGGTATGGCAGTTACGGTCACCTTAGTACTAAGACTATCTTAAGTCTATGTTAGGGTATGGGAGTCACCTTAGTACGGTCACCTTAGCCCTAAGATGGGAGTTACGGTCACCATAGCCCTAAGATCGCATTGTACAACGGCACCCAGATGGTAAACTGGTGCCATTGGCAGTGAGGACTTTAAATGTTTATGTTTCTTGTGAATCTATATGGATACATGCTGGACAAAGACTTGTGTGGTTCTGGTTGTGTTTCTTGGTCAGTTATTAAAACTCTCGCTATTTCTTCATGAAACTTTGTATATATCTCAATCAAATGGTAAACGCTCATTTTATTCTATCTTGGGCTTTGGAAGTTTGTTTAGAGAGAGGAGTGACATGGAACTGCTGAATGATTCCTCACCATGTTCTGTATATCCCAGATGGTCAATACGGATGTATCGCAGTCTGGGATGCAGAGTTCCCGCAGATCGTGCGGCTGTTTGAAGACGACCGGAAGAAAAGACAAGAGCTGGAGAACAACATGAAGAAAGAAAGAAGGACGCAATTCTTGTAGACCTTGCTGCTTCTAAATGGAGATGTGGACTCGTAGAATCAGATATTTATTTCCAGGAACTGTGATACACTGATACCTAAGACACTGTGCATCAAGATCAGTGATGAATAGACTAATATTTTACCACTGTGCCAATACCAATATAGGTCCAAGTGTGCATCAAAGTCAGTGATGAATAGACTAATATTTTACCACGGTGCCAATACCAGTATAGGTCCAAGTGTGCATCAAAGTCAGTGATGAATAGACTAATATTTTACCACGGTGCCAATACCAGTATAGGTCCAAGTGAACAGTCACAAGAAATATGATATTAGTACTGAACTATATAAGGCTGTGTATATATCCTTCAACAAGTGAATGGGGCATGGTTGGCTCAGTGGGCAAAGGTGACTTTAATTGTTGGTTTCAATCCCAGATTTGCCCTGATATGTTTTATGTTCAAGTGACATGCTCTTTAATAACGGACATACTGTTCAAAGCATGCTGACCAAACTCACCCTTTGACTCTTTTCAGTGAGTGAAAACATTGAAGACGAAAACAAGATTATTTCCTGAGAAAGTGTGTTCCACCGACATATTATAAATATCATGTCTGTTCTTGTTCAAGGATTTTTTAATATACTGTGGAAAACATATCATTATTCTTTTAATGAAGCAAATATGTGTATGTATCATATATATATATTGGATTTACTTGAAAAACAGTTAATTTTTCTTTTGAATTTAAGATATAGTTTGGAATAACTGGAAAAGCATTCATCATTCTTTTAATGAATCAAGTATAGTTTGGAATTACTGTAAAAATCCTTAGGTCATCGCTTTTTGAATGAAGCACTTCATAGTTTGTTACCAATATAATTGTGACAGCCTCTGTCTTGCTTGGATGTGCAATTAAGTATTAGTTCCTGCGTTTCCGAAACTCAGATCACTTGACTTTATACAATCATCAGAACATGAAGCATTTCAAGCATTTTTTTTTTTAAATCCATTTTTCATACAAAACAGGGAAGCGTTGCATTAAGCTGCTTTTAAACCGTAAACATCTCTAATTGTTTTAACAGTGTGAGTATGTACTTCTAATGTACCTAAGTTATCAGTCTAATGACGAACCAGATAGTTTAGTCAGTGATAAACAACGAAGGCTGATACCTACAATCAGACACTTGGGAGACAGTCACTTCCCAATATATGCCATTACCTCAATATATTCCTTTAACTATTTCCCATCATTTCAATGCAAAATGACATTAATCTTCTATTTTTTCACACTTCATAACTTCTCCTTGATTATAAATTCTGTTCCTTGTAAACTAATTTAATGAGGATAGAATGGGCCAATAGGAATCATCATGAAAAACTAAGGAGTTGTTAACACAGGGAAAATTGCCCGACGCCCGAGTCCAGTGTTTTTTTCTGTCGGGCAAGCAAATTTGTATATTACACTGTACCGGTGTCCAGTTGACTTTCCAATATTAATTATGTTGTTTATTTTAAAAAATCAACAAGAAAACAGCTGGTATAGTGGAACAATTATCAGGGCAAGTGATTTTACATGTGCCACTGTACCGGAGTACACTAGCAATTTTAAAGTTATTTCCACCCCTGCAACACAACTAATTATTGTTACCAGATTACATGAAATCAGAGAAAGTAATTACAAGAAGAAATGTTCATTATCCCAATAATTGAAGAATAATTTGAGATAAGCGTAATAATCCAGATCTGTTCGATTCTGGTGATTATTACTGTTGCTGATCATGTGATACATGTGATGATATTCTTACCTTATATCCAGACAAATGTGATAGCTCCTGTTCTAATCCTTGAGATTTATACTACTATCCTGACAAATATGTCCTCTATTCTGAATCTGATGTGGAGAGACCCAACTAGACCTTGTAATCATCTGAACACTTCTCTCATTTACTGTCAGAAACCATTTTGTTCACAATGGATGTAAACTTTATGTATTCATCAAGATTTCACCATGATATATACCGGTACACATAATAATAAGTCTCATGCTTCTGTTCAGTCCTCGGTGTCTCCTTTGGCTCATGATCAACAGATGACTAGTCTCGTCTTAACTATTAATTTTATAAAGCCAGAATTTAAGTTCTGTTAAAAAATACATGCAATATAAGAACATGATATTGAGGTTGCTCCAGGTGGAAGTTTTTTATCTGGGTTGCTAGGTACGTAGTCAGGCTTTTGTGCAATACATACCAACACGTCATTCCTCCAGTGTTTCATGTACAGTGATGAAATATACATATACAGTGTACGTGTTTTATCTACTGTACAGTGATGACATATATATACAGTGTACATGTATTTACTGTACAGTGATGACATATATATATATTCAGTGTACATGTATTTACTGTAGTGATGACATATATATATACAGTGTACATGTATTTACTGTACAGTGATGAAATATATATGTACAGTGTACATGTATTTATTGTACAGTGATGACATATATATATATACAGTGTACATGTATTTACTGTACAGTGATGACATATATATATACAGTGTACATGTATTTACTGTACAGTGATGACATATATATAGTGTACATGTATTTACTGTACAGTGATGACATACATATATATACAGTGAACATGTATTTACTGTACAGTGATGACATATATATAGTGTACATGTATTTACTGTACAGTGATGATATATATATATACAGTGTAGATGTATATATCTACTGTACAGTAATGATATATTTATATATACAGTGTACATGTATTTACTGTACAGTGATGACATATATATATATAGTGTAGATGTATATATTTACTGTACAGTAATGAGATATTTATATATACAGTGTACATGTATTTACTGTACAGTGATGACATATATATATAGCGTACATGTATTTACTGTACAGTGATGACATATATATACAGTGTACATGTATTTACTGTACAGTGATGACATATATATATATATACCATGTACATATATTTACTGTACAGTGATGACCTACATATATATACAGTGAACATGTATTTACTGTACAGTGATGATATATATATATATATATATATATATACAGTGCACATGTATTTACTGTACAGTGATGACATATATATATATACAGTGTAGATGTATATATCTACTGTACAGTAATGAGATATTTATATATAGTGTACATGTATTTACTGTACAGTGATGACATATATATATATATAGTGTACATGTATATATTGTAGTGATGACATATATATATATATATATATACAGTGTACATGTATTTACTGTACAGTGATGACATATATATATATACAGTGTAGATGTATATCTCTACTGTACAGTGATGGCATATATATATAGAGAGAGTGTAGATGTATATCTCTACTGTACAGTGATGACATATATATATATATACAGTGTACATGTATTTACTGTACAGTGATGACATATATATATAGTGTACATGTATCTACTGAACAGTGATGACATATATATAGTGTACATGTATATATCTACTGTACAGTGATCACATATATATATATATATATACCATGTACATGTATTTACTGTACAGTGATGACATATATATATACAGTGTACATGTATTTACTGTACAGTGATGACATATATATACAGTGTACATGTATTTACTGTACAGTGATGACATATATATATACAATGTACGTGTATTTACTGTACAGTGATGAAAATATAAAATCTGAAATATATTCTGTATATATTTATTGTACAATGGTGAACTATATTTACAGTATATATATACTGGACAAAATATATTAGGGATATTGGTTTTTTTATCATTGATATTTTATTAATATGTTAATGAATAAATAGATCATTTTTCATAATTTCAAAATTTACATATGTCCCTAACTATTTTTGTCCAGTATATTTACAATAGTGATGAAATATATGTGCTCTGAATATATTCATTGTACAATGATGGAATATATATACGGTATATATATTTACTATATATTTATATATTGCTGAGTGTGGCGTAAAATTAAACTCACTCACTCACTCACTGTATAGTGGTGAAATATATATACAGTATATATATTCACTATAGATTATCACTGTACAGTACAAGATTATAATGTCATTTTGATCTGTCACCTTCAATACTGGTACATTCTGCATATTTAACATTACCTTGATATTAATATGTTTAAAACATGAGTATACCACTTGATATGAAGTATTAACTTACAGCAATACAGACTTGTCTTTCGCCTACATCCACAATGCATTCCACGTGTTCTGTCTGTGCCAAATGGATACATGTATTTTGTTCTCATCAGTTCATATTTGCTTCAATTTTGAATCCAAAGATTCCTTTGGATGATTACTATCAAATTATGTTTTTAAATATCCTGTATATAAAGATGGTTTTGTAAAGATAAATGTTGCTGTGATATTGTGTAACCATGGTTACCTGTGTGAAGTTTTTAACATGATTAATTCTTATCTACAATCACAAAACTTCGTACACAATGTAATAAATGTTGGGGAGAAAGTTTCTGGCAGAAATACGGTAGCTTACCGGTACCTCACCAGATGGAAAGTCAAGTGAGTTTATGTCAAGACCTGTTTGTCCAGTGCCCTGCCTCCGAAACCTCTTCTCAGAAATCCCAGTATAATCAAGAGGTTACAATCTGCATTTTTGCAGCTATATTGAAAGAAATATTTATGACTACTATTCAGCCTATTTTGTTCAGAGTTTAATGATAATTAGTCTTTGTTTAGTATCAACACATTCTGTTTGTTTTATATGTGTAATATTTAAAATTTTGATCTGGCTCTTAATTTCTCTCAGAAATCATAGTTGACCGACTTTAAGATGCACTTACATTGTACTTAGATTTTATTGTTGGTATGTCATTTAGGCAGAACGTTTTGGAATATCTGTACTGATAGCAACTATTGTCACATGTCTTGTCGTTATGGCAACTGTTCCCTGTATATTCAGTCTCTCTACTGTACGTCACGATATGGCTGAGATATTGCCGATGTGACGTTAAATATTAACTCACTCTCTACTGTACTATATCACTATTTCCAATCCTTAGGTTTTCTACAGTGTTTGCTGTATGCCATAGATGATATAACACTGTCTGGGTATCATCATCTTATCTTTATACAAATGTTTCAAGGCTTCTAGTCTCTTTACAAGGTGTATACTAAGTAAATATATTGATATGATATGTACTCATAATATTTTTTTAATCATATGAATATAAATGGCTATTTGGGGTTTAGAAATTAATGGTGTTGCGATACTTTTTTCCGTGTGTATATATATTACATGCAATCAGAAAACGACATTTATGTGTGAGGTAAGATAACTCACATTGTTCTCAGTTAAGCAGGCAGTTCTTGAACACCTTTGAATATGGCTCTAACAGCAATGTTCAAACATTTAGGTGCTGAATGTTGGTTATGGTGTAAATAGGTTAGACCATAGTTAATACAGCATGCTGCTTGATGTTTAAAGTGACCACAGGATGAAATCTAGACATTAGTGTAAATACAAGAGCAAGATAACTCAAAACCTAGCGCTATTTCCTTTCTTCATGCCACTAGGATTTGATATGTTCATTGTTTTGGCAAAAAGTACAACGTGCGGACGACTGAGGACTTAAGGGGAATGAGCCTCTGTTCATTGTACTGCATCATCTCACAAAGTTTCAGGGTGTATAGTCAGCATGGTATACGTCAGTTAGTGCCCCCTTCTTCGGCAATATGAACTAGATATCACCCAGGGTATTAGTTATATTTATAGCTGAGAAGATAATAAGCTGTACTTATACTACCAGAGATTGTTTTGGCAGGTTGCATTTCTATTTTACTTCTACCTTGTATGTAGATTTGAACCACCATATAGGTGGAATGTTGCTGAGTGCGGCATAAAACTAAACTCACTCACTGTATGTAGATTTGAGGGAGCTGGCCTTTGTTCAGAGTTTTAAATCAATGCCTAAAATGCCTTGTTTGTAATTGAGAAATAGTGAGTGGATTTTGTGCTCTCAAGCATCCAATCTACATCAGTTACATATACATATCTCATTCTAATCATATCATCCATATCACAAACGGGGGTCACGATTTAGATGGTTCCAGGGCAAACGAGCTGTGGTTCATCTAAAATGACACAAGTTCCAATCAGCCAAAGACTGTATGTTACCTTACTGAGTTTACAATGTTGGTGGCGTGTCACATACTATTCATGTAAATAAACACATTACCGAGGCGGCATCTTCTTCTTCTGTATCCAGGGATCAAGTCAACAGGACACATTTAGGATCAAATATCTTTATGACCAAATATCTTTATGACCAGCAATGCAACAACTGTCAAAAATAATGACAACATAAGTGTGTACAGGTATTGACAAAAAATACTTTGCTTGCAGAACCTTGTAGATGTGTTAATTGAGAGGCATATTTTCTTGTTTCCCTGAAATAATTGAGCTCGCAGTATGTTAGGGTAAACCTGACATCCTGCTGTGATGTTGCTGGAATATTGCTAAACGTGGCATAAAACTAAACACACACACACCTCTTGACCAGGAAATCCTGGTCTGGCCCAATCTTTCCAGGTGAGTGAGTGAGTTTAGTTTTACGCCGCTTTTCGCAACATTCCAGCAATATTACAGCAGGGGTTTTAAACATTGTACATATGTGGGGTATCGAACCTGGGTCTTTGCTGTGACGAGCAAATGCTTTGGGGTAGCCTAGTGGTTAAAGTCCATATGGTGTGTGATCATCAAAGTGATGATAGTGAAGGATGGAAGGGAAGCTTCACATTGGAAGCTGTTTTTTATTTTATAATCGGATATAATAATGTTACCTATAATAATAACAAACATCTTTAAATACATTTTTAATACATTGAGAATAATTGCAATTCTTCAAATACAGAGGGACTGATTATCAAATATTTCCTCTTAATGCTAAATCCCAAGCCCACTGTGTAACAAGATGTAGTTTGAATGCTGATGGTTACGGCATAAAATAACATTCACTCTATGCCCAATGGACTTGAACCTGAGACCCATCTAATAGCTAACAGATTGTTCTACACTGGTTAATCTGGAACTACAGAGTTCAAACCTGTTTGACAAGACACAGCCACCAGAAGTTTGCGGTACATGAATCTTTCACAATACTGAAAGAATACAAAACTACAATGTATTAAAAGAAAACAAATTCAGTAAGTAAAAGCTATTTTAGAATATGCAAACAACTCCCTAAATACACATACACACACAAACACACTAAAATACAAAAGAAAAGATACAACTGGAATATACAAAAAACTCATTTGGTGCACCATGAAAAGTCCTTCTGAGATACTGATTTCATCTTAATATCCAGAGGATCACGAAGAAGAAAATAAAACTAATCTTTTCATAATTTTGTACTAAAAAATGAACTGAGGATCATCTGATTTCTCATACTATTGTTGTCAATCTGTCATGCAAAAATAATGAGTGAGTGAGAATGGTTTTACGCCGCTTTTAGCAATATTCCAGCGATATCACGATGGGGACCACTCAATGACATATTACCTACAGTACTATGGTATAACTGGGTGAACCTTAACATTGTTTTAGTGGTGTCGGAGGGTGATTGAAACATCCAACAATGTAAGGTACATCCTCCTCTTTAAACACTTTGGGTGATCGTAACATTCACTCATGTATAAAGCGCTTTGAGCGTACACAGATGTGTGAAAAAGCGCTATACAAATGGAACTATTATTATTATTATCATTATACATCCTCCTCTTTGAACACATAATATGAACAAATACGGGAACAGTACAGAACAATCCACTTGTAACAGCTATATGACACACTTTTGTTCTGCTTTCCAACCTGGCACTGTCAATATCAACTGAAAATGAGAATTCTTGTCTTTACACAGAACACAGAGGTAGAGGTGGGTTGCAGACTTGTATCAAAGTGCACAGACCATCACACACAACTACATGTCATTAGAACATTTTAGACAATATTCATCGATCCTTGTACTTGATTATATGTTTATTGTGTCTCCATTCAACTGCCACTGCATGACACTAAACAGCTGTACAATCAAATTAGGTCTTCCATGATAGAAACAAGCAGCTATATCACATAGCGTATATATACGTGTCCAATACAACCTGGAGTGCCAGATAGTATAACAACTTCCAATATCATGAATGTATCAAAAAGATATTCATAAGAATATTTGTTTCAAAACAATACTCTAACTTAACTAAATTTATCAAGGCAGCAGTTTTGTTCAGAAAAATCATTTTCATTGCCTGTTGATGTTGATATCAAGCTTGTGAGCGAGAGAAATACTGTGCTAAGATTAGAGATGGATATTATGACTTCAAATACAAAGCTTTGGTGGGAAATGGGTGAAAAAATTACACCTAAAATAAATGGTGAAAATACTGTATCACATGCGACAAATGCTGAAGAAGGATACAAGTTCTACTTAGCAAACAAGCTTCATCGTAAAGATGTAACAATTATTTGAATCGACAATATGATGTCAAATCTGTCAAGGAGATACAAAAATATTCTTATAGGGTATGTGTAAAAGCATGCAAAAATAGCGCATGTGATAAGCCAGTTCTATTTGATAGGTCGATATGAATATGTAGGTTTTCACATGAACAACTGGGCTGGGACAGCCAACATGAACTCTCAGTAATTCTTGGTTCAAGATACAAAAATATCAGAAGGCATTTAACACTCAACACATTCAAACATTTTACATTTCAATTCATTTTATCATTTGTTTTGAGCAGAGTTTAGGTTCTGTAGATACAAGGTGTGGGATGTAAGATTGTAAAAGCCAACAACAGCATGCACAAAAACATCAGTAAAACCTTAAGTAATCGTGAAAATACTGATCAGCTGAATGACCTTGGCCCCCGTGCACAATGCAATCGTAGCAGTATGACTTGTAACTATTCGAGTTACGAATGTCAACTTCTTTATTATGAGGAACACAAGGTTTCGGAGTATATCCTTTCGTTGTGTTCCTCACAATGAAGAAGTTGACATCCATAAAACCTCTCATCCTTATGTGTATCCCTTCTAAATGCCACTCAAACACCTGATATCGGAGTGACGATCACTTTTGTCGCTAACCTTTGTGCAACAGGGCCATGGTGAAAACACAACATAAAATACTGAGACTATGTCACACAGATCTTGTCGGAGTGGTGCCTCTCAGGAGTCCTGCAGATCACAACACACCAAGAATAATCTGAACACACTTGGTCTTTGATGTAGTAAGCATGTGTAAACTGGAGTAAACTCACACGATATGGTAAACAACAGAATACCTATTCTGCCATAAAACTGCAATCAATAAAATAGTAGAAAGAAGCATTAAAGCATTTCACTGGTCCTATAAATGAAAATTAAATCTCCTCTAAGATGCTATAACTATACTAGAATGACAGGTGAAATTTGAACTTCCATTTGGTCAAATTCAGTGACAAATTCAAATTCAAATTAAAATTCAGAAAACATGTTGTTTATGGACATTGTGAAATACAACTGTTATCCATCATTTACTGTACCAGTCTTTCTACCTGAACACTGTTACTATATGGCTGAAATAATGCTGTTGTAAAGTTACATTTGAACTTTTAAACCCTACATTAACACTCACAGCTGTGAAACAGAGATAACGTTCCCCTGGAATGCACGGACATCATTATACACTGGACAATGTCACATGTTTCCATGATAACTGAACCTGTCTTGTTAGCTGAATGAGCAGAAAACCTGACTACATTTAAGTACTTCTGACAATTGTTGATCCAACATAAAAGGTAATTAACCTAGTATCGCCTCTGACAAGGCTAATTGCATGTTTTTCAAATTTGGGACTGAAAAAGGCACATACTAGTATCAAGAACAGAACCCAAATTCTGAAATATTTCAAAATAAGCAGCATTTTCAACCAATCAGATTTCAGGACACACTTCTATTCCTTTAACAACGATAAACGACCATTCCACTAATAAAAGCTTGCCATTAAAAAGCTATTTTGAAATAACAAAAACATCAAAATTGAAGCCTCCCACCTCATTGTTTTTAAGGCTTGGAAGGCAATGTAATAATCAAGCTATTGAACCTGAATATACATCACATTATGCTTCAAGAATTTCAGCACTAACAACCAATCAGCTGACTTGCCACCGACCGTGACTGACTGAGAGCTTATCATGAGTAATAATAACATACCCCCCAAACAGTTCATCTCAGCAAGGTGATGGAACAATATTGTTTCTGTTTGAATGTGTTCCGTTCATTAAAAACATGCCACCAATCAATATGAAACATATATGTATAAAAAATATCTTGATGTAGGAGCTCTCTGTGGACATTATGGAATTGAGCTGTAAAATATGCTTGATTTCATGCAAAAAAATATATGTAATACGTGATATCTGTGTACCGTAATACATATATCTATAACAGTACTCAATAATCCAATACTTCAAGGAATTCTTTATCAGGAATTCAGTATTTCATTAACTCTGATTTATGTGGAGACGCCATGAAATGTTCTTATAAGATTCGACTGACTGACTGAGTTTGGTTTTACGCCGCTTTTAGCAATATTCCAGCAATATCACGGCGGGGGACACCAGAAATGGGCTTCACACATTGTACCCATATGGGGATTCGAACCCAGGTCTTTGGTGTGACGAGCCAACGCTTTAACCACTAGACTACCCCACCGGCCCTGATAAGGATCGAACCCGAGACTCTGATATATGTCAGACACGAGGTTGGATGCCTTGTTTGTTGGTTGGTTGATTGGTTGATTAATGCCGTACTCAGCAATATTCCAGCTATATGGCGGGGGTTGGTAAAAAATCGAGTCTGGACCAGACAATCCAGTCACCAACAGCATAAGCATCGATCTACGAGATACGACGATGGCATGTGTTGACAAAGTCAGGGAGCCTGACCACCAAATCCCGCTAGTCGCCTCTTTCAACAAGCATGGGTTACTGAGACCAATTCTAACCCAGATCTTCACAGGTTTGGATGCATTGTTCTGTCCACAGGACCATGGGACATAACCCTGTTAGCAAGTTGACACAGAAAGCATGTCATGCACAGGATACCATGTTTTGTATAACAAATTGTTAACGGGTTTCTTTAAAATTAGTCACTTCCCATTTCAGGACTGAGGTCAGTTAAATGGCCTCCTCGCCAGGTGATAAACAGTGTAACTGTCAGCTCAACCAATCACATTCTCTGTGTGATCCAGTTGATGATGTCATCACGGACACCTGCTCCATCTTCACCAAGCTCGTTGTGCAGCTGATGCATGTAGTTTTCATAAATCTGGAAGCAAAAACATCAACTTCTGTACTTCTGAGCTTTGAATGATATTTAGATTCTGCATACATTGTTAGTGCCAAGAGCATGTTTATGACAGAACCAGCAAATTATATTTTTTAATCACAATATTCAAACCATTTATCATAGCTGCATCTTAATAAACTTCTGAAGCAAGTGGTTGATACTGGTTAATCTATGCCATCTAAAGCATGTCACATATTTTATCCTCTCAATCCTGAGTAGTTCGCTCTTACTGCAGACTAAGAATCCCTGAATCTTTCCTTGTGACTACCAGCTTGCATAACCTACCCCTGATCACCACAGCTGTTAGCAACTTTTATATCATGCCCTCAGAGCCCCACTGTGATATGTGACGTGCATATCCTTGCCCTCAATCTCAACAATGCAACCAAGTTGAATCCCTGCCCTCAATCTCAACAATGAAACCAAGTTGAATCCCTGACCCAACAGTGAAACCAACTTGACACTGTTTCTTTGCACTGTTTGTATGTTCCAAGAAATCCTTAATGGTGTGATTATAACTTCATTAAACCATGCATGCAACCACATCTGTTCAGTTAGGAGCTGGGATTACCAGCCTGACTTACTTTGAGAGTCTTATCCTTGCTCTGTGCTGGGACCATACCAAGCCTGACTTACTTTGAGAGTCTTATCCTTGCTCTGTGCTTGGACCATAACAAGCCTAGCCTGACTTACTTTGAGAGTCTTATCCTTGCTCTGTGCTGGGACTATTCCAAGTCTAGCCTGACTTACTTTGAGAGTCTTATCCTTGCCTTGTGCTGGGACCATACCAAGCCTGACTTACTTTGAGAGTCTTATCCTTGCTCTGTGCTGGGACCATACCAAGCCTGACTTACTTTGAGAGTCTTATCCTTGCTCTGTGCTGGGACCATACCAAGCCTGACTTACTTTGAGAGTCTTATCCTTGCTCTGGGCCTTCTCATGCAGCAGCTTTGATCCCGCTGGATCGCACATCTTGTCTTCGGTCCCGTGAAGGACTATGAAGGGCCACTCCACACTGCCCAGATTGGACGTGATGTCCTGCAGGGTGGCCAACATCTCGCTGCCCCATCTGCAACACATGATACTACAATCAGGGGACATAACTCACAACATCAGAGCTACTCAACTACTGACACAAACCCATGGAAATCCAACAGAACTGATCTTCAGCAACCCAAGCTTGTCTGCAGCCGTGAAATATCTGGGATAAAATTGGTCTTATCTTAAGAGGTGACTAAACGGGATTGTGTGTCAAGCTTGCTGACTTGGTTGACACAGGTCATCATATCCCCATTGCTTAAATAGATGTTTATGTTGTTGATAACTGTATTGGTTGGTCCATACTTGATTATTCACAGACTGCCATCATATATTGCTGGGTGTGGCATTAAACAACAAACAAACAATTGATACTCCTTCTTTTCAATGAGACATCCTACTCTCTCTCTCTACCTAAAATATAATACGAAACAATTGCACAATTTTTTACTTCAGATCTCACCTTGCCTTGAGCTTGCCATGATACACCAGGGGGTCAGTATCATACTTGTGTACCTGTAACATACAGACAATAGGGTCAGACATTACCACAAAAACAATGGGAATAATAACATCTGTATTTACATGATCATTGTGTTAATGGTTAGCTTCCAGCAGCCAGCTGTCACAGATCTACTAAGGAATTGACACAATTCTCCCTCAACTCAAATTGCTACTTTTACTGCTTAGTTTCAATATCTGCTTGGAAACAAGGGCTTTGAAGCTGGAACGTTGTATACAGCATCTCTGAAAAACTGCAGTTCCAGGATTTTAATCTGAGTTTCTACACGACCATTACTATTGTCATTTTGGCAGTTCAAACCCCTGCCAAGGGACTTGCATTAGTGTTTTTTAAACTGGATATTGTTTTCACTGCAAAACCGATATTTGTTCATTGAGCCTAAATATTCTTGCAATGATTTCTTAGTTGTTGCAATTACTTTTCTTGTATTTTGTAAGCATTTTCGGAGACAATAGATTTTTAAATATAAAATAAGTACTTTTCACTTTCCAAACAGTGTCGAGCAACTGATCAATCAAGTGAAACTCAGCATCAGGTAGTGTCTCAATAGTATGTTGTTCCATTTGAATGTTAAGAACAAAAACACAAAGTACAAATAGGGAGTTTTGAGTTTGAGAAATATTTGAAACAATCATCTTTTACCATTGTCATTGCCCTGGTGACCTCGTACTGTAACTGTCTGATTATCAATGTGAGAGTTTGATCTGTATACGAGTGTAGGTGATTGTTTGTAACACTGTGCTGAGCATTATTCTAGCTGACAATTGGCTTGTAAATATTTTAGTCAGGACAGGATTTTCCAGTAATTGATGTCACGAGTAACAATCCATTATCCCAGATAACGATGACACACTATTTACAAAGTCAGCGAGTCTCACCATGCGATCGAGTAACAATCCATTATCCCAGATAACAATGACACACTATGTACAAAGTCAGTGAGTCTCACCATGCGATCGATTACATGGACTGTTATGAGGATAGGTTGCTGGGCAGTTGATGCAACCTGGAGTAGCTAAAGGGAGACAATCAGCACGATTACATGGACTGTTACGAGGATAGGTTGCTGGGCAGTTGATGCAACCTGGAGTACCTAAAGGGAGACAATCAGCACGATTACATGGACTGTTACGAGGATAGGTTGCTGGGCAGTTGATGCAACCTGGAGTACCTAAAGGGAGATAATCAGCTCAATTCACGTACCACTTCAGGATCCCGAGAAACATTCTTGCTGTCAAGTTTGATGATCGGGAACTGGGGAAACATTCGACCAACCAATCGCCCGACAGTGATCTGTAAAAGAACATGTACTTGTAACACTGAAAGATCAATGCTGATAGCTTGTTATCATAATATTGGACAATTCTAAGTGATTTTGTGGAGTTTGGTTGAGTGGTTTAATGGCTGAGTGAGTGAGTGAGTTAGTGTTATCACAACATTATGTGGGAGGAAAGCACAGAATGATGCAGGTTTTATCATTGACATCACAACTGAAAAGATTTTCATAATATACTATTCAACATTTGCTAAGGACCATGGAATTGGTCTGCTACAAAGCAATTTCATCTGATAACACTGGATTTGACCCTTTCTCACAAAGTATCAATACATAACAGCTATGGAAGCCGTTCAGGGCCAACACCGAACTACAGGTGGTGACACAACATGTGTCAAAGTCTCAACTATGGGCTCAGTGCCTTTGAACCACCATCATGCACTACAGCCTGACACGACCTTCTCATGCTGCCAGCAGAGCCCTGGATCTGCTCCGGTGGGAGACCATTTCTCCACAAGTGCTTCTCAGAGATCCTGTTTGGTGCATGGCTGAACCACACAATTTGACAATGCTTGTCGGAGCAGGTTCCATGTTCTATAGGACTAAAACCATGGGCATGGGATGGCCACTCCATACACTCAGTTGTTTGTGTTGCAGATACTGTTCTATGACTCCTGCACAATGTGGATAAGTGTTGTCACACATAAGGTTGAAGTCATACCCACTAACTTCTGCATAAGGTCTGATGTGGGCATCCAAGAACTCATCTCTGTAAAGAATCCCGACCATGGTGCCATTTGCAAGAATATGACGATCCGTTTTACCGTCCAAGCTGATTCCAAACCATATTACAGTGAAACCTGCCAACACCGGCACCTGTCTAATCCAGCACACTGTCAAAACCGGCATAAAATTTTGGTCCCGCCATTTTACAACGATATTATGATCATTAAAACATTGTCTAATCTGGCACCTGTCTATTCCGTATTCCAGCACGACTTTTCGGTCCCAACATGCAATTTTAACTGTAATTAACATTGTCTAAACCGGCATGGGTACGAGCAGTCCAATCAAGGACCCATAATCCAATACACTAATTAATCCTCTTGTCACGCAAGATAATCAGGAAGTAGTGATTGCGCGGTGAATCGAACGCTCTAAGCCGGCATGGGTATGAGCAGTCCAATCAAGGTCCCTTAATCCAATACACTCCTCTCGGCACGCTAGATAATCAGGAATAAAGAGATTATCGAGTGTAAATGGCAGCCATGTTCGAAAATGATCGTCACTGTCTAATCCGGCACCCTGCCTAAACCGGCATGTTATTTCGGTCTCATGGGGTGCCAGTTTAGACAGGTTTCACTGTATAATGGAGCCACTGCCATGTCAGTCATGTTCAGCAATGTTAACATCTTGTGAACTTCTATATCATTCAATTCTCAAAAGTTTACGTCAACTATTCCTTGGATCTTAGCAAATGTTGAACAGCGTAATATAAGAAATACCGTTCACAGATGAGAAGAGATGGAACAGTGTACAGTAGATTGTTGACTTTAAGACAACTTGTCAATCCATGGGACAGATTTTGTCTGCCTTAATTGGTGCCTGCTTTGAAATAATGTACGAGTATTATCTTCCATGTTTGACCTTCACCTTGACTGGGGTGGCCACATTTGGGTCTGGGATCACAGCAGGGCTGATTAAGATGACCCCTTTGAAGAAATCAGGCCTCTCCATGGCTGATTTGATTGCAATAGTGCCTCCCTGCAAAAGATAATGTGCATTGTAAATTCAAACCTGCTCTGGCTTTCATCCCAGCGTCATTATTTACTTTCAAACTAACTAATTCTATCCACTTCATCATGTATCTTAAGAACATCTATTGATGGAAATTAATAATCTATAGTTCAAATCTATATTATCTGAAGTTTGGCTGGCTGTGTGGCAAGAACACAAATCCAAAGCTGCTAGACCATCAGTAGCATGCCCCAGTGGGTATTGTATCAGTAGCATGCCCCAGTGGGTATTGTATCAGTAGCATGCCCCAGTGGGTATTGTATCAGTAGCATGCCCCAGTGGGTATTGTATCAGTAGCATGCCCCAGTGGGTATTGTATCAGTAACATGCCCCAGTGGGTATTGTATCATGCCCCAGTGGGTATTGTATCAGCAACATGCCCCAGTGGGTATTGTATCAGCAACATGCCCCAGTGGGTATTGTATCAGCAGCATGCCCCAGTGGGTATTGTATCAGCAACATGCCCCAGTGGGTATTGTATCAGCAACATGCCCCAGTGGGTATTGTATCAGTAGTATGCCCCAGTGGGTATTGTATCACATGCCCCAGTGGGTATTGTATCAGCCCCAGTGGGTATTGTAACATGCCCCAGTGGGTATTGTATCAGTAACATGCCCCAGTGGGTATTGTATCAGTAACATTGTATCAGCCCCAGTGGGTATTGTATCAGTAGCATGCCCCAGTGGGTATTGTAACATGCCCCAGTGGGTATTGTATCAGCAGCATGCCCCAGTGGGTATTGTATCATCAGTATCAGTAGCATGCCCCAGTCAGGGTGCCCCATTGTATCAGTAACATGCCCCAGTGGGTATTGTATCAGTAGCATGCCCCAGTGGCCCCAGTATTGTATGTATCAGTGGGTATTGTATCAACATGCCCCCCCAGTGGGTATTGTTTATGCTGCTTTCAGCAACATTCCAGTATCAACATCTTGGCAGTGGGGGACCCAGAAATGCCCCGGGTCACACAAAGTACCTATGCCCCATGGGGAACAAACAGATTTCAGCATGAGCAACATGCTAACACTTAAACCACTAGGATGGCAGGGGACCCAGAAGCGGGTCACCAAAGTACCTATATCCTTACAAGTATTAGGATGCCCCCGCCTTCCTTACAAGTATTAAGAAACAGAAAAATATTATATCTGAACAAACACTTGAAACTGCCATTGCAACAACTCTTACGTGTCATTTGCAAACTATTTCTGCCTAAATATCAGCAATTGTGTTGCTGTTGTGTCTGAAGACATGTGGTACATATACAACACGTACATCACCTCACCATACAATGTCCTAGAACAAGGGCACCTCACCATGGAATGTCCTAGACCAAGGACACCTCACCATGCAATGTTCTACTTCAAGGACACCTCACCATGCAATGTCCTAGACCAAGGACACCTCACCATGCAATGTCCTAGAACAAGGACACCTCACCATGGAATGGGGGCGGTGGGGTAGCCTAATGGTTAAAGCGTTGGCTCGTCACGCCGAAGACCCGGGTTCGAATCCCCACATGGGCACAATGTGTGAAGCCCATTTCTGGTGTCCCCCGCCGTGATGTTGCTGGAATATTGCTAAAAGCGGCGTAAAACCAAACTCAGTCAGTCAGTCACCATGGAATGTCCTAGAACAAGGACATCTCACAATGGAATGTCCTAAAAGGACATTTCACCATGGAATGTCCTACAACAAGGGCACCTCACCATGGAATGTCGCAGAACAAGGACATCTCACCATGGAATGTCCTACAACAAGGGCACCTCACCATGTAATGTCCTAGAACAAGGGCACCTCACCATGGAATGTCCTGGAACAAGGGCACCTCACCATGGAATGTCCTAGAACAAGGACATCTCACAATGGAATGTCCTAGAACAAGGACATCTTACCATGAAAAGTCCTAAAACAAGGACACCTCACCATGGAATGTCCTAGAACACATACATCACCTCACCATAGAATGTCCTATAACATATACATCATCTCACCATGGAATGTCCTATAACATATACTAACCTCACCATGGAATGTCCTAGAACACATACATCATCTCACCATGGAATGTCCTATAACATATACATCACCTCACCATGGAATGTCCTAGAACATATACATCATCTCACCATGGAATGTCCTATAACATATACATCACCTCACCATGGAATGTCCTAGAACATATACATCATCTCACCATGGAATGTCCTAGAACACATACATCACCTCACCATAGAATGTCCTATAACATATTAATCATCTCACCATGGAATGTCCTAGAACACATACATCACCTCACCATAGAATGTCCTAGAACATATACATCATCTCACAATTGAATGTCCTATAACATATACATCATCTCACCATGGAATGTCCTATAACATATACATCATCTCACCATGGAATGTCCTAGAACACACATAACCTCACCATAGAATGTCCTATAACATATACTAACCTCACCATAGAATGTCCTATAACATATTAATCATCTCACCATGGAATGTCCAATAAGAAAGACTGGAACGGCGGGGAACTTCTCCTGTATGAGTTCAATATGGTGGAACACATCTCGGGTGTACTGAGAGAAGTGGTCGATGTGCACCCTGTCACCTTCACTCTGTCCATGGCCGACTAAAACCAAGAAGAAATATCAGCACTACTTCATCCTCCATGAACACTGTTTCATGAACACAATTTTACGTTTCATTCTTGTTTACTCACAACATTGGGTACCAGCTCACTAATCTTATTCTTACACAGTTCACTATTACCTCATTCGCCTATATTTAATTTTAATACATTTTGTAATCAGTTGTTTATTTCACTGTCCCCCAATTTTTTTCTAATATATTAGTATCCACAGATTTGTAAAGAAACCACCAACAACGTCCATGTTTGAAGGATGCCCTGACTGTAATAAGGTTCGTTTGTTGTTTAACACCGCACTCAGCAATATTCCAGTTACAGAGAGGCGGTCTGTAAATAATCGAGTCTGGACCAGACAATCCAGTGATCAACATCATGAGCATCGAACAACGCAATTGGGATATGATGACATGTGTCAACCAAGTCAGTGAGCCTGACCACCCGATCCCGTTAGTCGCCTCTTACGACGAGCATGGGTTACTGAAGATCAATTCTAACCCGGATCTTCATGGGGTACGACAAGCATGGGTTACTGAAGATCAATTCTAACACGGATCTTCACTATTCAGTTATCAGTTAGACATACAATGTTCATTTTCCATCCTTCCAAGCAATATGAAGACAGCCTCTGTGTGTGTGTCTGCTTCTACTTCAGAGATGCCAACCCTAATTTAGCGCAATTAGTATTTTGATTAAAAGATTAGTATTTGTTGGCCAAAATTAGCATGAACTTTTCCAAAGAATTTTCATAGTAAATAAAAAAAAACTTAATATATAGTCTAAGACCTTGTTATTAACGTTATACTCAACTAAATGAGTAGTAAGTATCAATATATACATTGATACTGAATATAATGTGATTGAAATTTATAGTGTGTGGTACATATGCTATTTAATAATTTAATTTGAAGTATTATTTTTTTAAATCGTATATTTGTACTGCTATCATAGTCACGTATTGTGTTGTTTTTTTCGTAACAAATACAATAAAATCGTATGGGTTGGCATCTCTGCTACTTGTCCAGACTAACATCTATATCATCATGATAGCCCAATGATATACCACACTACAGTTTCAACATGGATACCCTACTCTGACACTGCATTCTGATGCCACTCTTTGTTTCTTGTTTTACACCGCACTCAGCAATATTCCTGCTATATGACGGCAGTCTGTAAATAATCGAGTCTGGACCAGACAATCCAGTGATTAACATCATGAGATACGATGACCTGTGTCAACCAAGTCAACCGGGATGACTAGCCAATCCCGTAAATTGCCTCTTATCAGAAGCATGGGTTGCCGAAGATCAATTCTACCCCTGTTGGACACCAAGCTCACCAGTCCGTATCATATTCCCCCGAATAGGACTGAGACTTACTGTGGTCATGTGAGAAGACATACAGGTCCTTCTGGGTGAGCTGCTGTGCCAGCTGAGTGTACCACAGGCAGTGTTCCCCAGCACCATGGGTAATGAAAACCAAAGCCCTGAAACAAACAATACTGGGTTAGAAATTATTTATCATGTTTGCTAATGAGGTATGCTAATCATGAAGATGCTGTCATGTGCCCTTTGCAACTTAAGTGTGCCCCAAACAGATACTTTTCATACATCTTGTAAGTTGAACAACATTTCACCATGACCTAGATAATATGAACTTGTTATTCACAAAGTTTCGAAGTTCCTTTCCTTTACTGTACTAGGAGGGACTGTGGGTAGGCTTATGATTACAGTGATGGTCCTCATGCTGAAGGGCTGGGTTCAATTCTCCACATGGCTAGAGTGAGTGAGTGAGTTGAGTTTTACAATGTTGTTAGCAGTATTCCAGCAATATCAATGGCCGAAGACACCAGAAATGGGCTTCACACAGTGTACCCATGTGTTACATTGGTCGAATGTGTGAAAGTTTCAGTGAAACCCATTTCTGATTACCACCAAAACACTACACAACAAACAAAAGACATGATCGCCTGACCAATGATCATACAATGGGGACATATGGTGGGACTAGCTGTCTTATCCTAGAATCCTGTTATTTCACATAAATCAGTCATCAAAAATTAGCAGTGGACAAAGTTGATATAATTGATGGCTTGCATCCTGATAAATTATCACTATTAGTGTGGATTTGTTTCTAAATCATGACAAATCCGATGAAGCAGGACAATGAGATAGGAATTCTATCAGTCAGGCCAAACTTGTGTTTCTTGCTTTTCTGATAATTTACAGGTCAATGCTTTATTTAGGGCTTTAGCACTACAGGGAGGGCTAGGCTGTAGGGAAAATATTGTGGTTCAGGGACTGTGAGACTACATTGCAGGGAAGGCTAGGCTGTAGGGAAAATAACATGGTTCAGGGACTGTGAGGCAGACTACATTGCAGGGAAGGCTAGGCTGTAGGGAAAATAATATGGTTCAGGGACTGTGAGACAGACTACATTGCAGGGAAGGCTAGGCTGTAGGGAAAATAACATGGTTCAGGGACTGTGAGACAGACTACATTGCAGGGAAGGCTAGGCTGTAGGGAAAATAATATGGTTCAGGGACTGTGAGACAGACTACATTGCAGGGAAGGCTAGGCTGTAGGGAAAATAATATGGTTCAGGGACTGTGAGACAGACTACATTGCAGGGAAGGCTAGGCTATAGGGAAAATAATATGGTTCAGGGACTGTGAGGCAGACTACATTGCAGGGAAGGCTAGGCTGTAGGGAAAATAACATGGTTCAGGGACTGTGAGGCAGACTACATTGCAGGGAAGGCTAGGCTGTAGGGAAAATAACATGGTTCAGGGACTGTGAGACAGACTAGGAGGGCTAGGCTGTAGGGAAAGTAACATGGTTCAGGGACTGTGAGACAGACTAGGAGGGCTAGGCTGTAGGGAAAATAACATGGTTCAGGGACTGTGAGACAGACTAGGAGGGCTAGGCTGCAGGGAAAGTGACATGGTTCAGGGACTGTGAGACAGACTAGGAGGGCTAGGCTGCAGGGAAAGTGACATGGTTCAGGGACTGTGAGACAGACTAGGAGGGCTAGGCTGAAGGGAAAGTGACATGGTTCAGGGACTGTGAGACAGACTAGGAGGGCTAGGCTGCAGGGGAAGTGACATGGTTCAGGGACTGTGAGACAGACTAGGAGGGCTAGGCTGTAGGGAAAATAACATGGTTCAGGGACTGTGAGACAGACTAGGAGGGCTAGGCTGTAGGGAAAGTGACATGGTTCAGGGACTGTGAGGCAGACTAGGAGGGCTAGGCTGTAGGGAAAGTGACATGGTTCAGGGACTGTGAGACAGACTAGGAGGGCTAGGTTGTAAGGAAAGTGACATGGTTCAGGGACTGTGAGACAGACTAGGAGGGCTAGGCTGTAGGGAAAGTGACATGGTTCAGGGACTGTGAGACAGACTAGGAGGGGCTAGGCTGTAGGGAAAGTGACATGGTTCAGGGACTGTGAGACAGACTAGGAGGGCTAGGCTAGGCTGTAGGGGGGAAAATAACATGGTTCAGGGACTGTGAGACAGACTAGGAGGGCTAGGCTGTAGGGAAAGTAACATGGTTCAGGGACTGTGAGACAGACTAGGAGGGCTAGGCTGCAGGGAAAGTGACATGGTTCAGGGACTGTGAGACAGACTAGGAGGGCTAGGCTGAAGGGAAAGTGACATGGTTCAGGGACTGTGAGACAGACTAGGAGGGCTAGGCTGCAGGGAAAGTGACATGGTTCAGGGACTGTGAGACAGACTAGGAGGGCTAGGCTGTAGGGAAAGTGACATGGTTCAGGGACTGTGAGACAGACTAGGAGGGCTAGGCTGTAGGGAAAGTGACATGGTTCAGGGACTGTGAGACAGACTAGGAGGGCTAGGCTGTAGGGAAAGTGACATGGTTCAGGGACTGTGAGACAGACTAGGAGGGCTAGGCTGCAGGGAAAGTAACATGGTTCAGGGACTGTGAGACAGACTAGGAGGGCTAGGCTGTACGGAAAGTAACATGGTTCAGGGACTGTGAGACAGACTAGGAGGGCTAGGCTGTAAGGAAAGTGACATGGTTCAGGGACTGTGAGACAGACTAGCATAGACACTGAGTCATGGCTATGCCGAAGGGTTCAGTTTCACACTCCAGAATCAAGACACTGTGATGATATATCAGTATGAAACCACACATGACAGATGAACATACTAAGTGGTGACAAGGTCATATTACTGAATCTTGATGCACGTTTCCATCCTGGTTCATCATGGGTCAATGTGATAAATGTCTCTGCATTTCATATCCCTGAACTTGAATTGCACCATGCAGATGTGCTAATTACCAACAATGAGAGATTTTTACGAGGCCTATATTTGGTCTCAAGTCTACAGTAAATGTCTGCTAAAATTCCAGACTTGATTCTGAAACAATTCTAACTTCCATAAACATGGAATGTTGTGTGTTGTTTAACACCATGCTTAGCAATATTGCAGAGACATGACAGAGGCCAGTAAACATAGTCTGGACCAGACAATCCAGTGATTGATATCAATAAGAACAATCCACACCATCAGGTTGAGGTCATCAACCAAGTCATTGAGTCAAAATACTGGAATCTGGACCAGACAATTCAGTGATTGATGTTATGAGTGAGTAAGTTTATATGGCGCGGTCTGTAAATAATCGGGTTTGGACCAGACAATCCACTGATCAAAAGCAGGAGCATCAGTCTATGCAATTGAATTGGGATACGATGACATGCTTCCCTCGCTTCGGTTTGAAAAATATTTTTTTATTTTTTATTTTCTATTTGCGCTACAATTTGCCTGTGGGTCAATGAAGACCAATTCTAACCAGGATCTTCATAGGTCCATATCAACATCAAACATTGTCTAACTACTGTGATTGAAACCAAATTTAAACAATATTATTGGGTCATATAAAAAGAATGTTAAAGCTTACATGCAACGCAAAACACAACTTTGCAGATTCTGATACTTTTCGGCATGTACTTTTTTATTAACACCTATGTAACTTACAGTAACTTAAGTATCAAACTTAACTTAAGTATCAAAAATGCAAATTCAACTCATAAAGATGAAAAATAATGCGATGAAACACACACGCACACACCCACACACACACCACCCCGAAATCAGAGTTCAAACGATTCACTAAAATCACCCCAGCTGGGGTCAAAAGTGGTTTCAACAGCTGTGCTGTGCTTCGCTCATAGTGCATGCGCAGTGAATAGGTTCATGCAGCTTGAGGCGGGATGCCTGGATTATAAGATCGCGAGCAGGAGTAGTCTAATCTTGGTTGTGTACACCAAAAACAAATAGTAAATACTCGTTACATAAAACAACCTTGTTAAGGATCTAGATCTACTCAGCTATGTGTCAACGAGTGAGGCGTTGGACATTTCAAGACGGAAAACCTTCGCTGGTGGTATTTTTCTAATATTTTGACTTTTGTTGATATTTAACAGGCACAAGCTTTTTATATATTATGACAGCAGATTACAGATTTAACTGTTTATATAATTTCATTTGACTATTTCACCACACGTTCTTCTTAACAAGTCACTTTCTCAGTTCGATACTTAAAAGCAGCGTCATTATTTAGCATTGTCAGAATTTCTAACTGTGATACAGATATGCCTCTGTCACAGACATAACTCAATGTCTGTTTTATTAACACCTATGTGTCTGCCTGCCTGTCTACTAATGACAATATGCAATACACAACTTCAATCACTGACCACATGCAATTAGAACTTAACACCTATCAGGCTATTCACCATAAACAAAACGCATTGATTTATGGCTCGTGTACCCGGTTCTGTCTCTGTCACATATGTAATTACACAGAGAGGCAGGTGTGATACTTGTACACATGGCATGTCTATTGATTGCAAAATGTTATACACAAAAATGAGCATGTATTTACAAAACCCAACATCTCTATACACACACAAAGAGCCCTGAGTGTATCAGCAAATGAACCAGCCAATAAAAGCCTTCATTACACTTAAGTGCACGCCCACCCCGCTTTGACTAGGATTCGGAAGTAAACCCAAGTACAAAATATTGCACTTTTGATTTGCAATGGTACGCTTATAATTTTGTTAATTTTTTTCTTCAAAATCAGCAATGTATACTATATGTCATGAATAAATGATAATTGTGTTTTAATTATGTTTCTTTTTTTGGTTGCATCTAAGCTTTAAGAACACTGTTTTGTAAGTAATAATTGCGGCACCACACACTTGTGACATGAAATATGTTGATTTCATGCAGATTCATTTAGCAATTTAGCTCAAGGTTACTTCTCTGATGTTTGTCGAATATTGATTGAGATAATTCAGTTCACAATTATATATCTCTATGATCTATATGGAAAGCCAGCCCTTGTCTTCGTAGGGTTATATAGCTATAAATACTCGCTAACAACATGACTGTGACATGTATTTCAATGACACATAAGAGTGGTGAGCGAGCGAGTTAAGTTATATTAGTTTTTAGCAGTAATCCAGCAATATTACGGCGGGGGACACCAGTAATGGGCTTTACACATTGTACCCATATGGGGAATGAAACCTGGGTCTTTGGCATGATGACTGAAAGCTTTAACCATTAGGCTACCCCACCACCCCAACGGCCAATAAGAAGATCCTTTACTTTGTTTTAAACAATGTAAATGGTGCAGTACAATCAAAGGACTGACAGGCACTTAGTTGTTGAAATTTTTTTTTTCCAGATAAATGAAGTCTATGTCCTAGATAAACCAGGTTCACAGCATATGTAGATGGTACTTCTATGTCCAAATGAAAATGATTAAATCAATTCATAATTGGCTTACAAAACAAACCTATCTGGGGGGTTTGACTAAAGCTACTGCCTCAGCAGTATGTAACAATTGAATTTGATTTTATAGGATGATATGCGGACTTGGTTGCAGCTATGCCTTCGTAATATTTTATGTGCCCTTTTGAGTTTGTTTGATTATTTTACAGAATAGGTGAACACACGTAGCAGGAAATTATACCAAGTCCAAAATTACCTGATCAGGTATTGTCACTGTTCATTGTCTCATTCTGTCTCTTTTGGCAATATTCCTGAAATAACATAGCAGAGGACACCTGAAAAGGGCTTCACCATGAGCGGAATAGAACCTGCATTTTTGGCATGATGTGCAAACACTTTAACCATTATGCTAACCCACCACCCCTTCTGACTGAGAATGGATCAATAAGGAGAGTAAAATAACACCAATGTCTGTAACTAGCTTTTAATCACTAACTCCAGTTTGTTTGGGTACAATGATGAACCTGGTGTTGTCTAAAATTTGTGATTAGATCACAAAAATTCAGTGACATAAATTATCTGCAGTACAATAAATAGTGTCAGCCCTGCCTGTGTGTAGTGCAGTAAATGAAGGATATAGTAACTATCCACATACGTTATGGGTCCAGAAATTAGCAGAAAGAACATGTTAATACAATATGATCAAAGCATCCAAGTTGATGGTGTAAAACTGGCCGGAGGTGAGGTGAGGTGAAATTGGCTTTATCGTCGTGCTTGAGAATATTATGACGACGTGCATGCGTGTGTATGTGCGGCTGCTTGTACTAGCCCAGACTTAAGCTGGTTTTATAGTGCTAGCTCACTGAGATACCATGCCGCAGTGAAGCATGAATACCCCACTCAGACACATTATACTGACTCCGAGCCGACCAGTCCTTGTTGTACCCAATAATGCTGAGTGCCAGGCAGGGACCAACAAGTACCATATTTTAACGTCTTTTGGTATGACGCGGTCGGGGATCAAACCCGTGACCTTCCGCTCTCCGGGCGGACGCTCTAACCACTACACCATGGAGGCGGTTAACTGGCCAGAGAGAAGAGTAGAACCTGTCTTGACACCACAAGGGGCAGTGGGATAGACAAGTGGATAAAGCGTTCACCCAGGTTTGATTTCCCACATGGTACAATGTGTGACACCCATTTCTGGTGTCCCCTGCCACGATATTGTTGGAATATTGCTAAAAGGGGCGTAAAACCAAACTCACTCACTTAACACCACAGGGGACTTTTGGTTTGGGTAACAAATCTGCCTACCATATTTATTGTTATGTTTAAGCTTTCTCCATTTCGCCAATTACATTTGGTTAGAGCATATGTGATACAGCAAACATGTAAGCAGTGTTAACAACTAAAATCTGCTAAGTTTCCATGTTTACCATACAAGTCAAAGTATGACTTTTTTCCTATACGAGTTACTATACAGGTCAACATGTCTAAATACCTCCAAAAAAATGAAATTTGCAACAAATCTTTGATAAGTGTATCATGTTTATAAACAAACTGCTACTATGATAATTATCTCCCACAGCGCACTTAGACAAATAAGTCACCGCTATATGCTTACACCATTATTAAATGACGCAATGCTAAAGTTGGGTCACTTCATATGAGGTGCTCCACGTTCAACACAGGCCCACTGATTTATGAATTGCTTATATCAGCTGACAGTTTTGTTTATATAGACTCCTTCTTATCATGTTAATAGTCGTACATTGTTAGCTTTAGCTTGTTCAGCCCATGTTTCGTGATAAGCATTGCCATGATAGGTTGCAAACTGGCCAGGGTAGCCAGATTTGCTTACTGCACAAACTAAGAAATATACGTACAAATTAATATAGAATAAACATGGAACAGCTGGTTTATATATATTTATGACCTACAGGGTTGGAAATAAACAAATTCATAAAGATCTCACTACACATGCATTTTTTGCTAGTATATTAATTATGTTGTTCATGCTGTTGATCACTGGATTGTCTGGTGATTACTAGTATTCACAGGCCAACGCCATATAGCTGGAATATTGCGTGTGGCGTTACACAACCAAGAAACATCACAAGGTCGGAGTGAAACCATGTCATAGCTTCAGATTATGGACACCATTAAACAATTTTGTGTTTCTGAGACAGTGGTGGGGATCAGACTCTGACTTGTATGAAGCATGTCTATCATCATATCTACATGTTTAAATCATTGGGTTAGTCACTGGATTGTCTGGCCTTGACTTGATTATTTAAAGACCAGCATCATTTAACCAGAACATTGCCCAGTGCAGCATTAAACAGCAAACAAACATACAAAACAAAGCATTGCCCACAGCACATGCAGTAACTCGGGTAATTTTCAACATCATATTATATGCTGCTGAAACTTGTCACCACTGATCTTCTTGATCATTTTGTTAGTGTAAGTGTCATGAATGAAACCCAAATGTTGACATGACATTTTATCTTCTCTCATGTATGATAGTCTTTACAAAAACACAGTGGTGTAGAATGGAAGCATACATTTACTGATGGACTTTTTACTTTTTGCTGTATAACTACTGGCTAGCGAACAGTTATCGCCATATTTTAGCGGTGTTTACAAAATTGCTCCGCCGTTTGTTAAATTAATGAAACAGAATTAATTACGATACTTAATTAGCTATTCACCGATGTGTCCAGCCCGTTCACTGTCGCTGATCATGTTTTTATATAACGCGGCGGAAGGGAATCATGGAAGTATAAATATATGTTTTCTCACAACTAACTGCAACAGTTATCGCCATTCAGATTTTCTCATGCCACTCGTGAAATAATATAATTCATATCATACAGTAACCTCGAATAATTGATTGTGTGACTATTTGAGTGTTTTTTTAACAGTAGATTGATAGGGAATGAAACAATTAATGACTTGTGAACCTGAACTTGCTATTATATAGGTCGGTGGGACATTCCCCCACTAAGTTAAAAAAATGATAGGGTTCATAACTTTATCTGTAATTTTTCTCTTATATGTTACTTGCCGTGAAGAATTGTCTTTTGCTGTCCTGTATTGTTGTCAAATACCGTAGGAAAAAATACCGAAATTGTAATTAACCGGAGCTGCGCCCGTGTGATGCTGATGTATTGGCGATAACTGTTCACTAGCCAGTACAGAATCAGTTCGCCAACAGCTTAATTAGGATTGGGGTTAGGTTAGAGGTGAACGAAAACATTCTACAGGGGAATGATATATGATTAAGAAATACAGTTCGCACTACCCACATGTATAGTGTAATAAAGTACACTTTTGCCCTTAACTATTATATTTAAAGTACAAGGACTCTTGCACTTTATTGCCTTATAAAAATACTATCAGGCGCCTTTGATCAGAGAAACATCTTAGAATTAGATTCATATGATATATTTCTTTCCAAACTTAACTTATTACGACTGGCAAACACGATAACAAACTTATTCGCCATTACAAATAAATTACCTGTCGGCTTAGAAAAGTGACAACAAATGCCCACATGGCGTTTGTTATGACAAATAGAATACGTGTAACCAGAGACCATATTATATGGTCTCTGGTGTAACCGATCAATACTTGTGGATATAATGTATGTAAACTCTTGCACCTGAACAGGTGTTCGTTCATTTGCTCAGGGTCGTTATCATGACAGTCCAGCCAAAGTACGGTATGTGTCTAAAAGCTGTACCAGAACCTAAATATCAGAAGCTACACTGGTCGTCCTCATGTCATGTTCGACCATGCGTGCTCTCACTCACCTTTTCAAACAGTCGGCTCTCGCCATCGAGCACTGGACACATTCGAGAAAAACACTCTCACAATTACTTACTTTGGTTTCGTCAATCCTTCCTCTTCGCTCCAGTATCGACAAAATATCTTCTTCCCATCTTTGTTGGTAAAAAATCCCTCATATTTTGTATCTTCGGACCTGTGTTTATCTTCCGACATGTTCACATGTGCCCCCTGTCAAGAGTGGTGGTCGTCTGGTGTCAAGGTGAAGGACAGGACAAGCACCAGTACAGCACGCCCTCTATAAATAAAGCTAAGCACGAGACTGATAGCAAGTGTTTTCAACTGCGTCTGAGTACATTTAAGATGACAGTTGATTAGATTTGTTGATCTGTTAATCAGCGATAATGACAGAACAACGGCATGATCATTGGTGAAGAAAACAATTGTGAAAATTAATTAACACCATGCAGTTGCATACAATAACAATTAAATAATTCATTAGCATTTATTAAATATTAACCCGCACTTTTAATTACGTGGTGTATATACAAAGCACGTAGTCTGGGGAAATCCAGCCGTTTCTACGTACAATATGAGACGAGATGGAATATAAATACTTTAAAATATCATATCCGGGATATTTGACCTATTTTCTCTATAAACTTGTTGAAATGATTACGGAAGCAAGGATTTCCCCAAGATAACGATAGCGCTCGCTCACTTAAAATTCTATGAATTGGATTTAGTCATACATTATAGACTTGAAAAGTATTACTTTTCACTACTGTACAGCTGTTCAGATTACCGTAAAACCCTGCAGTAATGTACGTAAGTCCTCTACTGACTAATTAAGCTACACATGTATGTACCTCCAACCAGGAACTATATAATTCCTGTTCTGCTGCCCATGTACTCGATCATATTTCGTGAGTGGGTCGTTGAAGTAATACGAGCTTTTACTTCAAGTAGACCGTAGTCCTACCAATAAAATATAATAGTCAAGGGGTTTAGATCGTTTCAGAAAGCGGCACACAAAGTTGCGCAAAAACATACAAGAACGAGGCTTTAGACCTTGTCAACCAGAACTCGTCACTATCTGCCGACCCAGTACTGTAGTAATGTGTCATGATGATTTAACCATAATTTGGTATCTATCTTACCCGGTTGCTGTAAGCGGTGTTTGCTTTATGTTGCCGTTTTGAATATATTTTGTCATCAATGTAGATACGGTTTGCTGTACTCGTGTTAGTTTTATTACTCCGCCGACAGCACTTTGAGGCATAGGTTTTAACAGAGAACTAATCATGTTTTAGCATTAGACATTCGGATAGTGATTTCCAGAGTTCAGTACGCTAAATAACGAAATAGGTCTGTCTAAATAACTCGATCAAGTGTAGGTATTACAATGGCAGCATCGGGGCCATTATGAACAAGGCCACCAAACTGAGGGTCGTATCAGCTGAATCAGTTAGAGTCAGGCATGCGGGTCAGCTGCTTGTCGCTAATGTTAGAGAATGACTGACCACTGACTCACGCCATTGTGGGTGAGTGCGGGATACTTCAGGCTGACCAGACCGGTATCGCAGCACAACAATAGGCAGTCTGACAAGGATTCGCCCGGGGGTTAATGTAGGTTAGGCCTACTGTGGTTTGTTATAGCTTGACCCCGGGCTGCCCGGCTAGACATATGTTGGCTGACCTTTGAATGCGAGATGCCAACCTGACACTGCAGTTCCATACTTTGTAGTTACTGTAAATCCTGAAATTAATGCGTCTCCAAATAAAAGCAAATGCTAGCCCCAAGCCAAGATTTGCGACACAATATTATCGCGACTTCCCAGCAGGCCCAGTGGAATTCGTAGGCTTCGTGAAAAAACGTACTTCTGTGAGGTTACAGATCTGTTTATGCTTATCTTCATCCAACCTTACACTCACCCAGTAAATAGCTAATAGCACCGCTTCTTAGTATATCAACAACCCGCAAATAGCTGTAAAACTGTCGATACGGCGGGGCGGTCGGGTATAGCCTAGCTAGTGGTTGAAGCGTTCGCTCGTCACGCCGAAAACCCGGGTTCGATTCCCCATATGGGTACAATTCCTGGTGTCCCCCGCCGTGATATTGCTGGAATATTGCTAAAAGAAGCGTAAAACTAAACTTACTCACTCACTGTTGATGCGGCGTTGATCAACATTTACCATCTCCCCTATAATAACAGACTTGGATTCATATTTTACTGAAAACCACCTGCTGTACAATAGTACAATGTACAAATAATGTCAGATGAATGTAGATAGAACACTTCAATAGGTTGCATGTATCTATTGCGAGTTTGAATTAACATTATAGGGCGAGGGTTTAGAACTCAACATATGTTATTGGGATTACACGTTTGAGTAAAGTACAGATGCTAGTGCATTTCTGGTACAGTCACATTCGGGATTCCAAACTACACTCTTAGCGTGAAACAGCTAATCGCCAACACACAAAGTCGGCGATCTAGCCCACTCAGCTGAGATTCCGAGAGGGTTAGACTTTGTGTATCCGTTTCAGAATTCATTCATTGAATTAGTAAACTTGGAAACATCACGAAATATAATAGTTGTGGACCCATATTGACACATATGCTTGAACACCAAGAAGTATCTCAAATCTATTAAACCCCGTAATAATAATCTCTGTTCAATAAATGTGTAAATGCTCCGTAGGGCTTATACGTAAAATATACATAAGTTTGCCCCTTTGGATATTTGCAGTCAAATGTAGGAAGTCTATATTCAGAAAGTATAGTTACGATGTCAGTTAATACCGAATATTTATTGACCACATACAACGGAAAGATATTTTTCAACGTGATTTTGTTTCGTTTGTGTTTTAGCAATATTCCAGCCATGTGACGGCGGTCTGCAAATATTTGAGCCTGGACTAGACAGTCCAGTGACTGATATAAACATAGATCTGTACAATTAGGACATCATGACATCAATCAACAAGTCAGCGAGCTTGACCACCCGATCCCGTTAGTCACCTCTCAAGCATGGGTTGCTGAAGACCAAATGCTCTAAAATGCAACCTATGCAAATCAGTATGCACTGCTCGTGCGACCATGCTGCATGACCCTGTCTCACCCTGTTACCACTCTAAAACCACATACTCTTATTATTTTATGCTCTTCTTAACACTGCACCGAACACTTGTTTGTAACACTTTGGGAACCCGATTGAAAATATTCTGAATTTAATATTCATTATCCAGAATAGTTATGTTCTACAAACGTTTCCGGGTGTTCTGACCATGTAACACTTGTAGACAACTTGTATGTCAGGCCTGACACTCAGAACACTACACATTTCTTACATCTATCGCTCTGAAATGACACATTTTGTTCATGGCGAATTAAAATGGTGAAAAGAATTTTGCCTGATGCACTCCAATACTTTCCGGGGCGATGGGTAGCCTGATGGTTAAGGCGTTCGCTCGTCACGACGAAGACACAGGTTCGATTCCTCACATGGGTACAATGTGTGAAGTCCATTTCTGGAGTCCACACTGTAAACCTTTGCCGTAAAATATACGGTAACTTCACGTGAAAATGCAACGGTAGAATTACGTTATGACACTGGTACGGTGATAAACGGCATTTTATTGTAGTGACTGATATTGACGGTATAATACCGTTTAACCCCAAAGCACTGTGGGATGCTGTCATCCACGCCCTCGCCATGCATTTTACGTTGGGTTTGATTACACGAAGACGAATCGTTCCAGAATCAGCTGCCACAAGACTCATCTGTTGGTAGTTTGTACTATACAATGTCTAGAGTATGCAGATTAAGGACTCACATATTCACTATTTAGGTTTTCTTTTGTTTGCAACTATATTTTTGTTCTTGACAAATATAATGAGTGAGTGAGTGAGTTTAGTTTTACGCCGTACTCCGCAATATCCCAACTATATGGCGGCGGTCTGTAAAGAATCGAGTCTGGACCAGACAATCCAGTGATCAACAGCATGAGCATCGATCTGCGCAATTGGGAACCGATGACATGTGTCAACCAAGTCAGCGAAACTGACCACCCGATCCCGTTAGTCGCCTCTTACGACAAGCATAGTCGCCTTTTATGGCAAGCACATGGGTTGCTGAAGATCTATTCTATCCCGGATCTTCACGGGTCACAAATATAATGACGTATCGTTGCAAAGAATGTAAGTTTGAGACCTCTATCTTACGTCAGTATGTCAGACATTATCGTTTACACAGAAACGTTCCAAACATTGTGTTTCCATGTTGTCAAGAGCTTTGTGTAAGAAAATTTCACACGTACAGTGCGTTTCGAGCACACGTATTGCGTGATCATAGGCGCAACACAAACATGAGTCAGTCAAGGTCAGTAAATGGCCAGTCACATGTGAATGTACATCTTGTGTGTAGGCAAAGCTTTTGTGACAGTACATTCTCTCGTATCGAGGAGCTCTTAAAACATTTGCGTCAGCATTTAGACAGAAGGGATCCCACTGTTTGTCCATTAAGATCATGCAATACCAAAATTATACATAAATCAACATTCTCATGTCATATAAGTAGAAAGCACAAGCACCACACATTATCGGAGTTATCAGATTCCGTTCTTGAAGCAAATAACACACATACAAATCCAGATGAAGGACAACACTGCATATCTTTACAAACAGACAACAGATTGGTTGAAGCTGAACTTGAAGAAAGTGAAACAGGGGATGCTGATTTAGATGAGACCACACAAATCAATATCTTAAAAATATTGCCCAGTTCTATTTAAAGTTAGAAGCAAAACACTTGCTACCTGTATCTTTGATTCAAGACATTCTAACAGAATATCAATCTCTTCATGAACTTAGCAATAATTTTGTTGAGAGTCAAATCATAGAGAGACTTCAGTCAAATGGGATTTCAGATGATATCAGAAATGACATGAGCGCATCAGATATATTTTCTATTTGCAATACAGGTCCCTTAAGATCTGCAAAGTGTAGGTCAAGTTTCTACAAACATAACTTCCCATGTGTACCCCCAGAGGAAGTAGTTTTGGGTTTCAGTGAAGAAAGTGGAAGGGAGCGGACATTTCAGTATGTCCCTATCCTCAAAACATTGTCAGACACATATACCTACCACAGATTACATATGTCCCGCCATAATGACAGTGGTGTGAGCAACAGTGTGTGCAACAGTGTGTGCAACAGCCACGTGTGCATGGCATTCACCAGGGTTCACTTTATAAACACAACGAATTCTTTCAAACACACATGGACTCTTTCCAGATAAAGTTGTACCAGGATGCCTTTGAAGTTGTGAATCCCCTGGGTTCAGCTAAAAGAAAGCACAAACTTGTAGGAGTATATTTTACTTTTGGAAATTCCCCGT